AAAAATAATCAAATTAGCCTAAACCCTATGTCTTCCGTTCTGGAATCCATCCAGGACGGAATGAACCGTGATGAGGCGAAGAGGACTGCAAAGGACTCTGGAACGCCCATCAGTCTATCCCCTACAACGGAGGTGGAAGTCGTGGTCGAAGGAGGCAACTCTGGATCGCCCGACGCCCCATCCGAAGTAGAGGATACGAGCCAAGGCAGTCAGCGCAAGCGACTGTCTGGAGCAGCACGGAAGCGTCTCCGGAAGTTAGTGGCAGAAGCAGGGGTAGCTACAGAGCAAGCCCTTGTGTTATGCCGCAAGCCATGGAAAGACATTCCGATACCGAAGCCGACCTCTGTGAAGACCCTCAAGAGGGACAGATCAGAGGAAGACTCTCCTAAGGCGCACATCAATAAAGTCGCCAAGTTAAGCCCTACAGCCACAGGCGGCCCAAAGCCCCTTAGCTATAGGGAGATGGCGGAGACCTCCAGAGTGGGGATCCGGAATTCGGAACCCATGACGGAAGCCCAGATGGCGCTCGTACATCGTCACCTCATCGTGGCCCTAACAAAAATGGACGCGGAGGGCGATGGACCTGAATTTGTCGGTTTCAGCCACAGGACAGGATGGATACTGGTAACCTGCGCGAACCAGTATAGCCATGACTGGCTTGTGGCTGTAACACCAAAAATGAAGCCATGGCCTGAAGCTCAGCTGACCACCATGTCGGAGAGCGAGCTTCCAAGGCCATCTACGGCAACAACGTTTGTACCCAAGACGGAGGCTGCCTCAGTTACTGAGGCATTAGCCCTGTTGAGGGTACAGAATAAAGGCATAAATCCTGGACTCTGGAGGGTCCTAAACGAGAAGGAGGAAGAAGGAGGAAGGCTTGTCACCTTCTCCATCGACGAACCTTCCGTTGAAGCCCTCAAAGAGAAGGATTACTGGGTGACCCTCGGATTTAAGAGGGTTTACTTCAAGATCAAGGGCGACCATCAGGCCCCTCAGCATCTACAGTCTTCCTCCGAACCCCCTCCTGCCGCCGAACCAACGCCGTCGACCAGCGGAACACAGAAACCCCAGGGCTCACAACCTCGGGGTGGAAGAGCGCCGGTGGTCGTGGGCGGGGGCCGGCGAGGGAAGGGTAAGCATGCAGCTGGAGTGGCAAAACCCCAAAACTCGAACGCTAAAGCGCGACCAACGCCTCTAGCGGGGGGATCACGGGGTGCCGCGAAAGCTGCCAAACGGGGGAAATAAAATGGCCAACCAGGGGGCTCGGGCAAGGATTCTGCAAGCAAACCTCCAACACGCCGCTGCTGCATCCGCAGTAGTGGAACAGTGCTTTGCAGAACGAAAGGTCGACCTTGCCCTGATTCAAGAACCCTGGGTGCATAACTCAACCATACTGGGACTCAAAGCCGCTGGTAAGGTACTTTATAACATTGATGGCTTGAAACCCAGGGCGTGTATTGTTTTCAGCAAAAACACTAACTATTTGCCTGTTACAGAGTTGTGCACAGATGACCTTGTAGCAGCATTTGTCAATCTCAAGGGATGGCACGGGCCCAGAGTGCTCGTGTGCTCGGCCTACCTGCCCGGAGATAAAGCTGACCCGACTGCTGAGCTCACACCCGTGGTCGACTACGCCCGGAGACACCATGCTGAGCTGCTTGTGGGGTGCGATGCGAACGCCCACCACACCGACTGGGGAAGTACAAACATTAATAACAGAGGTGAGTTATTAAACAATTACCTAGTAACCAATTGTCTTCAAACTTTAAACAATGGCTGTGAACCAACTTTTGTAACTAGGACGAGACAAGAAGTGCTAGATATTTCTTTCGCCACTTACAACCTGGCCAGGCATGTAGAAAACTGGAGGGTTAGTAACGAAAACTCAGTGTCAGACCATAGGCATATATGCTTAGAACTAACATCGGAACTAAGTACACATACTAGTGCATTTAGGGACCCTAAGCGCACCGACTGGGATGAATACAACAAACACCTTGTTCGGAACTTAGAAGTAATTCCTAAATGCATTAGAACGGTTGAGAACATTGAATTCGCGATAGAGGCGGTCTCTAATGGCATTAAAGATGCCTTCGAGGCTAGCTGTACACCCAAAATCAAATCATCCAAAAGGAAAGTACCGTGGTGGAACTCAAAGCTGAAAAAACTTAGGGAGGAAACACGAAAGTTATTCAATAGGGCTAAAATCACCCATGAATGGGATGCCTACAGGATGGCCCTAAACGAATACAGTAAACAAATTAGAAAAGCCAAGCGTGCATCATGGAGGAAGTTCTGCGAGGAGATAACTAACACGCCTCAAGGAGCAAGACTTCATAAGATCATGGCAAAGGCACACTGTAATCCCTTAGGTCCCCTTAAAAGACCGAACGGGTCCTTCACGACTAACGAGAAGGAAACCTTGCAGCTAATGGCTATCACCCATTTTCCGGGATCTACTGATAATGCAGTAGCGATCACTCTTCGAAGGCCTCTACCAGAGGACTGGAGAAGAGCCGCTCTCGTTATTAGGCCTGGAATAGTGAAATGGGCCATTAACTCGTTTAAACCTTTTAAATCTGTTGGAATTGACGGCGTAGTCCCTGTGCTTTTACAACGGGGTGCCGCCAATCTCATCCCTTATCTGGTAAAAATCTTCAGAGCCAGTTTCGCCTGGGGATATATTCCAGATCTGTGGACTAAGGTGAAAGTCGTGTTCATACCTAAAGCTGGAAAGAAGGACTATACATCACCAAAGTCCTTCAGGCCAATCAGCCTCACGTCATTTCTTCTGAAGACCATGGAGAAGGTATTAGACAATTATATCAGACAAGGGAGTCTTATCAACAAACCCATACATGATACCCAGCACGCCTACCGAAGCGGCAGATCTACGGAGACTGCCCTACTAAACCTTATAGACAAGGTTGAAAAGGCACTGGACGATAAAGAAATAGCACTCGTTGCTTTTCTTGATGTGGAAGGAGCGTTCGATAACACGCCCACCGAGACATTAGCAAGAGGATTAGTCCATAAAGAGATTGACTCCACTACTGTAAGATGGATAAGAACCATGCTAGAGAGTAGGACAGTGAGGATGGAACTACTCAATGATTCACTAGAGTTAGCAACAACAAGAGGATGCCCACAAGGTGGAGTACTCTCTCCGCTACTGTGGACTCTTGCGGTGGATCAGCTTCTCCATAAGATGGCTGAACTCCGCTTTGACACCCTGGGCTATGCCGATGACCTGGTGGTGATAGTGAGAGGAAACTGCCAAAGTATGCTATCGCACCTTATGCAGAGGGCGCTGAACACAATTAACTCATGGTGTAAAAACAATAATCTGTCGATTAATGCAGGCAAAACCGTGGTCGTCCCATTCACAAGGAAACGAAAGCTGGACAAGCTTTCGCCTCCGACCATGAATGGGAGGCTCATTCCGTTCTCGACAGAGGTCAAGTATCTGGGGGTAACACTGGACCAGAAACTTACCTGGAACGCACACGTAGACGGAATTATACAGAAGTCTAAAACAGCTCTGATGATATGTTGTCGGCTAGCGGGAAATAGATGGGGCTTGAAACCCAATATAGCCCTCTGGCTCTACACAGCCATCATAAGGCCGATGGTGTCTTACGCCTCGGTGGTTTGGAGTAGAAAAACGACACAGAGTACTATCATATCAAGACTTAACAGTCTGCAAAGGACTGCTTGTCTTATAGTAACAGGAGCTATGTCTTCCACCCCGACTGCAGCCCTTGAGGCTCTGCTAAACCTGCCGCCCCTACATCTACACATTGAAATGGTGGCGAGGGCTAGCATGTACAGGATTACTAGCATGGAGGCGAAGACATGGCTGTCAGGTAATTTGAGGCACCTGAAGGACTCAATATGCAATATACCAATCCTGGGGATGCCTACTGACACCATGCCCCCGAGAATCGATTCACACAGGTCATATCTTGTGGAGATACCCACCAGGGACGACTGGTCAAACAATCGTATAGTATGGAAAAATGGAAGCCTAAAGTGGTACACTGACGGCTCCAAATCCGGTCCTGAGGTAGGATGTGGAATTCATGGAGAAGCCCCAAGGAAGGCTATAAGTCTGAACATGGGAAAGTACTCCTCAATATTCCAGGCAGAGGTGTACGCCATTTTGGAATGTGCGGCAGCCAATCTGCAAAATAACTACCTCAATCATACTATCTACATCCACTCTGATAGTCAAGCTGCACTCTTAGCACTAGCTTCCGACATAACTAGATCGAAGCTGGTCGAGAACTACAAACAGGCACTGAACTCTTTGGGCAACAACAACAAAGTAGTTCTACGATGGGTTCCAGGGCACGCTGGACACGAAGGCAATGAACAGGCGGACAAACTGGCGAAAAAGGGTGCTAAAGACGCCCTTATCGGACCAGAACCTTTCTGTGGCATCCCTCAAAGCCTAACCCAGCTCACCTTGAAAACGTACTGCCACTACGCAGCTATTCAACTATGGAGAAACACTCCCGGTATGAAACACTCTAAGACCCTGATTAAAACCTTCAACAAAAAGGCGGCATCAGAGGCCTTAAACTTAACCAAAACTCACCTTCGCACACTAGTACGAGCACTCACAGGGCATTGTGGACTGAACAGACACATGCACAATATGGGGATCAGCGACAGTAGAATGTGCAGAGGATGCAAGGAGGAAGAAGAAACACCTTTGCACATTTTGACCGATTGCCCGTTACTAATGCGAAAACGATGTATCTATCTGGGAAAGCACGTGATGCACCCAGACGATATTAAAGAACTTACGGCCAAGAAAATACTACAGTTCCTTGTAGAATGTAATCTTGACCGTGAACTGTAGTATGTGGAGATCACAATAGATCAGCAATGGTCGCAGTGATACTGGGCTGCATAAACCCAAGATAATCCGCAACTCGAAACAATACAATACAAATAGTGCAACTGACCATTAGTAGCTAAAATAATAATATATACTAGACATCACAAAAATTGCTCAGATTCTCAGCCTTATGGAGTATCTGAAACAAGTAAACTTTCGACATCGAAACCGTGACCTTAGAGAAGGCGACATCTTGGAACCGGCGCGCGAGTCTCTCGGCTACAGGGGATATATCTAGAGTAGATTGTAGCTTCGCTGATAATAATAATTATTATATTTCATCAAACCATTTGGTTAAGATGGGATTCGAACCCATGACCTTTCGGAATCCAGCCGACTGCTCTAACCACTGATCTACCCAGGATCTAACAGTACCGACGAATCTTTTTATTAAGAATATTATTATCTTACCAATATCAGGGTGCGTAGCATACATTACGATGCCTAACGGCCACAATTTATCTTCATAATATTGCAAATTATCCGCAGACAGTTTAGGAGCGTCAGCGACTTCATCGCCCATACGCCTCGACACAACTTTCTGCGTCAATGATCCACACTCAGAATGATAATGGGCATTTATATAGTTCCTGTCTTCAGCAGACAATAAGCCTGACTTGGTCGTCAAAGTCTCCTAAAAACAAGAGTATTGAGTAAAAAACCATTTACTATCTAAACTAGGGATACCACCCGTACTTTATAATAAAGTATTGTACATTATTTCAAATAGAAAAACTCATATTCTATTTATAAATAAAAAGTACAAATAGAATACGAGTTGTTTATTGAGTTTTTAAAACTAATTTACTTTTAAACTTGAAAGAAAACCGGAAAGATTGTAATGGAGAAATCAAGAACATACCGTAGCGACATCTAGTTTGATTTCGGGAATTAATGTTTTTTTTAGCGATAGCTAACATATCGCAGTAACAATCGATAGAAAGGATGCTAGCATCGCTACAGCAATCGATAGCAAATCGAACTGCAAAAAGTTTCAATACCCAGTAACTAGATGGCGCTGTACACTGTTAATTAAGCTACTAAGTCATTTAGAACAAAGAAAATCTACATCGCCCAAAATGAGTTTCATAACAATTCACATCAAACCTATATTAGTTGCACCATGGTTCCCGGGCTTACAACACCTAGCACGAAGGGAGCTAATTACCCTCTAGTCTCCCTTGCCAGTTGTCTCCGTCATCCAGTAGGACCACACCCTCACCATTACGGTTCCTACACCTAAAAATATTGTGACAAACACGGGATTCTTCCACATGATTTAAAAGTATGATTATAAAGCAAGATGGCGGAGACCTTACTTTTAAATAACACAAAATAATTTTATTTTGAAAACCAAATACTTTAACTCGACAAATACTTACACGATCTTTAAATTTTTTCACTAAATCGTAACTATTTATTATTGGTACTGAAACATAAACATTATTTTTTTTATCTTTGTAAAATAAGTCTAAAAAACCATTGTCAGCGGGTAAAGCTATTCCATTCCGGGCAGATGAGTTTATCGTAAAATGATATAAATAAAATTATAATGAAATAAAACAAAAACTCCACCTGTGTGGAAAACAACTAACTGAAAATGTTGGAACAAGATAAAAAATGTATGCGACATCATCAGTGGCGAGCTTACCCCGTCGGGGGCCGTGGGGGGGGGGGAGAGAAATTCGACATTGCATTTACCCCTTCCCTGCTAAAACTATGAAATTGGACATAAGAAAGATAGGCAGTATAACCCCAATTTATGATTTGATATAAGGAACTTGCAGCCATTTAGAGGTCCCCCCCAGGACAAGAGGCCCGGGGTGGATCACCCTCTCCCCCCCTCCCCTTAGTACGCCACTGAACATCATACATAACATGTCATTTTCTCTTACAGTGTTATTAATAAAAAAGATTTAGCGTTGGAGTAAATTTACGCTGAGACTGCACTTAGTATTAGTCAAAATTCATATTATTAAACAGAGACTTGGCAAAGGTTAACCTAGTACGAGGTTCTACGGGAGTTATATTTACTCCTAGAAGGTAGTAGGTTTGCTTATTCTCTGTATAATATGAATTTGGACTAATACTAGAATTGCAATTTTATCGTAAATTTACTCTCGACGCTACACTCTGTGCATGCCTCCGATTGCATGTTATGTATGATATTGCGTACATTTTTTATTTTGTTCCAGCTTTTTCAGTCGTTTTTCACGCAGAAGGGTTTTTTTAAAGATAAATATTAGATAATTCAAATTCCAGCAATTCTTCATCTTTACCTGTTTGTACAATACTAGCTCTGAGCATGTCTGCGAGCATCCGTGATATATCTTTAGCGTTCAAGCATCTGTATCCAATTGTCATGTCCTGCGAAATATAAATTTTATATTGTGGCAGATCTGTTTAATAATCTTTGTCGACCTCTCTGTGGCAACGTAATCTGTGACATTTGTATTTTGTACATCAAACAGTCTGAAAGTAAACTCATACCTGTGAACACGTTTATTTATTTTACCAACCCTTCGTATAAATAGAGTCAGATAGTTATTTACCAATAAGTTAAATATCACCTATTTTTCACTCTTAAATAAGTACCCAAAACATTCGGTAAAATATTATCAATACACAGTATAAAATAAAGTCGCTTTCTCTGTCCCTATATGCATGCGTATGTATGCTTAAATCTTTAAAACTACGCAACGGATTTTGATGCGACTTTTTTTCACAGATGAGGTGATTCAAAGGAAGATTTTTATTTATAATGCGGGCGAAGCCGCTGGCAGAATTATGAATATTACACATATTGGCGCGTTATTGTTTTTGTCTGCATTCATGTTTCACGCATAAGTTTTCGCGTAGAATGAAACGCATGTTTTTTTTTATTTTTTTGAGGATAAATGAATTTCAATATATTTTCTGCCTACCCTATTCCTATCCATAAAACTAGACTGATTGATATCTCATTACTTCGTCAACTCTCACGCTAAGAACTGAAAATCAGCAGACACGGTCCCACGCAATCTCATAATCATCAACCAAAAAGTAGTGATACGTAGGTCATACTCGTGTCGCGTAATTATCATCTGAAATTGTTGAAGATACAGGAAAGGGCGGCTGATCTCTAAAGCTCTATACAACATCAGCAACCAGCGCCATACGGTAAGTCAGTCAGTCATTTCGTTTTCTCCATCACAAATTCCGATTTCATTTTCCTTCATTGGCCCAGTCATTAAAAAGACTAAAAGGCAGCCAACCTCGGAATGGAAATGTAAGCTGGAAACTAGTATAAAATATATTTTTTAACCCTTAAAATAATAATATTTAAAGATGTTATAACTTTATATAAAGTATTATTTGCTAATATTTCTTATCGAATTTAATGTGCGCGATTTTAACTAAGTTATAACCAGAGGTCGGAATTAGGTAGAGTTATTTATGTACTTACATCGAAATGTTGATATTAATGTGGACCTTCCCGGGATTTCTTTATTTCTTTCTTTGATTAATGTAAGTTTGGCAACGCCGTGCGTGCAGTAGTTTAAATTGTGTAAAAGTAAATAACTTTTTATTTAAAAAATCACGGGATTTTTTCTGCTCTTTAAAATTAATCTCGGGATTTGAGGCATATCCACTTTATTCTTTCGCTGTATGAAATCAGTGTAAGTACATGAATAACTCTACCTAATTCCGACCACTGGTTATAACGTGAGGCTTGTGTAAATTGTTATCGAAAGTCTTTTTGGCCCGTAAATTAATATACCAATGATACTGTGATTTTTAAGATTATCTACTTACAATGACATTCCCTGTGTAGTCATAATGACTAGGTGGACAATCTTTCACCTTTTCCGGGTTACTTATGTAAAGCAACTTCTCGCGTTCAGTAGGAGTATAATTAGTTGGTGTATTAAAAAATTTCACGCACACTTCGTCTTGTAAACGTGAAAACGTAGACAGTATCTCATCCTGAGAGTGTAGATCTGTAGTATAGGAAGAGTGCTTGGTAGTATGGAATTGCAATTACCAACTATGTTCCTATGAGACGTAAGTAGCATCGACATTATTAAGGTAAGTAGTAACAACGCTATAAGGAAGTATTTAGAAAAAAAAAACATTAGTTCCCGAAATCAAACTAGATGTCGCTACGGTACTTTCTTGATATCTCCATGACAACTCTCCGGTTTTCTTTCGTGTATATAAGTAAATTAATTTTCAAAACTCAATAAATTACTTATATTGTATTTGTACTTTTTCGTTTTCGTATTGATATTTAAGTTTCGAACTTTTCAAATTTCAGTTTTTTAATATGTAAGTTAAAAGGAACGGAAATGACTGTCTTTGGTCCATTCCTGCAAAAATCAACTTTTGCTAAAGTCGCCATCTAGTGGAGGTGCTTTTTTAGTGTTCTCTTTTTTCTTAAAATACTTGCTCATTCAAAGTGACAAACTAACAATTTTAATATAGCGCGTCATGAATCTTCTGTTTACATAGACCAAACCTTTTTTTCCGTAGAGGGACAGACTGTAATTTACACCGCCACATTCATAGTGGCTCCCACTGTCCTAAATCTTCAGCTTGCTATTGTAAAGTAGTCGCTTGGCTTGCGGCAACGCAGTGCGATAAATGCTTCAGCCGATAGGGATGATGACTAATTTTTGTTTGTTTGTCCGTCAGATAGAATGTTAAAAAATATTTAACACGTATTTTTTATTTTTTTCGTAATCATAAAATTACGGCGTTACATTGAGTTGAAATTTCGCATGACGTCACGTTATGATACGTTTTCTACTCAACTGTGACGTAGCGAGCCCCCACTCCTCAACTTTAATGCCTGTTATCTAAGCTATTTCTTGTTAAATTGAAGTAAAAATAAAATCCGTATCTAATATTTTTCTATTATCTGACTGACGGACTAAATAGAATTGTGTTTTTTTTTACCCAGTCATCATCCCTATTGGAACGATAGAATCAGGGGATCCACGCGCGCTCCTGACCCTCACTGAATATGACCGAGATGGAAACCTAGTGCGTTTATACATTACACATTTATTTCTTAATGGTTTTTAAAACAACACTGATGTAAGACCATAATTGTACATTTTCCCGAGTAAGTGTTATCAGCGTAAATAAATAAATAATTAAGGTAATTTCTTTTATTAATTTTCAAAGTCGCGTAAAAATTTTTAAAGCACTTTTCTTATCTTTCATATCAGGAAAATCCACATTATATATTGTTCATACATTAGTGGTCCTTCGAGCCGGATCTTCCACATATATCATGATAATTAAATTGCGATGGAAACGCTTGCTAAACATAAAGTACTTTTACAATCATACACTGATTAAAAAAAAATCATCATCAACGCTAACGAAGATTCACGACACGCCATACTTATCTCGGGTGTTCGGTTTTTACAATATACCTACCGAGTAACAGCTAGTTGCACAAACGTCCATTAAAAATTTCATTAATTTAAAGTGACATTATCCATACAAATTTGACATTCATTAGAGCTTAAAGGCGTCATTAAACCTTAATGAACGTTTGCGCAACTGACCGTATGTGTAGCATCGGTATTAAAAAACAATCTCACCATAATCTTTCTGGTTAATTGAAAAATGCACTACGCCTTTCGGCCATAGAGAACACGAGCCGAAATTGAAATAATAAAGTAAAGCGATAAGTAACGCGCTCATATCTACGGTAAAATAAAACAATTCAGCGTTCCGATAGTAAAATCATGTGTTACGACTGCTACTTTATTAGAATTTAAATTTAACGATTTTATAAGGGTCGATTCACACTAACTCTATGTTTAGATTGGTTATTATTATATGGTGGCATATTTTCGTTAGTAATAAATTAAAATAAAACTTTTTGTTATACGTAAAAATCAAATCATTAACTGATAAAAGAAAAATAAATTAATGTAAAGACTACGCTTCTAACATTCCGTCCTACAGCGTGACTTTTGTACTAATTTTATATATAATATCAATTTTTATATTATTTTCGTTGCTGTAGTAAGATCCCGCTCTTACTACACTGTTTTTTTAAACGCGCTGCCGAATGGCTTTTGTAGCTATATAGACGAAACTGACGCAACTTGGACAGGTAGATATTTTTTATTAACTTTGAAGATGACGACAGAAAAAGTTGTGTCGCAAGAGTCATGCACTGCAAGAACACGCAATTTCTTGTTAAGAACGAGGAAGTATTTTAAAAAAAACGAAGGACTAAAAAAGCACCTCCACTAGATGGCGACTCTAGCAAAAGCTGATTTTTGCAGGAAACGTATGGACCAAAGCCTGTTATTTCCGTTCCTTTTAACTAAAATATAAAAAAACTGAAATTTGAAAAGTTCGAAACTTAGATATCAATACAAATACGAAAAGTACAAATAGAATATGAGTTGTTTATGGAGTTTTGAAAACTAATTTACTTCTAAACATGAAAGTAAACCGGAAGGGTTGTCATGGAGAAATCAAGAACGTACCGTAGCGACATCTAGTTATTTCGGGAAGTAATGTTGTTTTTAAATACTTCAAACTATCTAGTTTAGATTTCCTGCAAAAAATCAACTTTTGCTAGAATCGCCATCTAGTGAAGGTGCTTTTTTAATGATTTCTATTTTTAAATACTTATTCATTAGCTGGTTGCTTGCTGACACTTTCCTGCTGGAGACACTTTACTTACATATGAATATACATGTATATGGTAACATACAATCGGTCTGATTGTAATGCTACATTCGATGTATCGAAGATTCACGTGCCATATTAGTTGAGTTCGAATGTACCTTTTTTTTGATACATGTAATTCTATAATTTTAATATGGCACTGGAGGTAGTTGCTATGCTTTTTTTTTATTAAATAAGGAGTAACAAACTTGTATAAATATGAAAACAAAATATCTAAGATAATTTCAAATGTGATCTGCACTTGGAAACTTAAACGCACGTGAAAAAGGACTTGTGTGTAAACAGCCTAATAAAACTGATTAATATTTATTTCATCAAGAGAACGAATTAATATATTTTGTACATTAACAGTGTATATTATCATTTAATGATTTATGTATAGATAATAAAACACTTTTAAATTTAATTTATGCCAAAATTAATTAGTATTTGTGCATTCAAATATAGCTATAGAAATTGCAATACATATTTCACATTTATAATTAGGTTAGAATAAAATCGCTTAGCGTTCATTACAAAGTTCCTTTTAAAGGTTAATATTAAAAAGAAATAGACATGTCGTTTGAAGATAATATACCTCAAAAAAGTATTAAAAATTTTTGCATATCTCAGATGCAACTGAAATCACATATCAGAAAATACTTTTGTATACATTGTGCTCAATAAAACGCTTAGTTGTAAAGCCTAAACAAGAAAGGCCCAAAAAAATATATATATTGACTCCGAAACGAAATAAAGAGCAATTATTTCCTATTATAACACCTTTTGGCTTATTAAGAGTTATTTAAAAGGTCTCATAAAATCCATATTCGATATATAAATTATAGGGAAATTTGCGGCATATTTTGTTTTTAACATATTTTTAATGCCGCTTTTTAAAGTCTTAAGAGTTGACAAACAATATTATAATGTAACAAATCACAGCCTTATAACGATGCATTATGAACCTAAAGGCTTTGGCACTATATTTCATATTACAGTTTTTTGAATTGTACACAAAAAATAATACTACCATATTGAGATCTTTTTTAACCTAGTAACACTTAAATCTAAAGACAGTCTTCTTTCTTCAGGTACATTATTGTAAATAAAAGTCCAATTCTTGTTCTTCTCACAAAATTTAGTCAAATAAATCACTTAACACTAGAAACATTACGATGTTATAAAGAATTCAAACAAATCCTTGTAATAGAGAATATGTCCGTTCACTTAATTCTTTTTTCAGTCTATGGAATTTTCTTTTCCAAAAAGATGTTGCCATCTAATAATATCCGGGAAAATATTCTCTATTTCCCATTTTTGTTTTTAAAACTTATATAGAGTACAGATATAAAGAAATGCGATTATAGATACAATATATAATACCATAGTTTTAAGGAAGTTTATAAATAAAATATATATATAATATTTGATATTTTCAACTAAACCTGCTTCTCATTGAAAGTAATGCTGTGCCAACGCTGCGTTCGATGCTGTATTTATAGTATAACAAAAATATATGATAAATTGATTACTTGTCAGTCACAACAATGAATAATGAAATATATTGGAAAAGATAACTTAAAAGTATATATTTTTTTATTTTAAATAAATTGTATGTTTTATTTTTGCAAAATTAACTTGAGATTTATAATCTGTGGATTACAAGAACCGAAACGCGGGCGGCCATGACCGAGCATCGTGTGACGTCACATTTCAATAAAGTTCAACGTCCTTATTGCGAGTGCAACTTGGGACCTTATTGTCTATTTAAAATCCATCGCAATTGCTTTCAATGTTACATTGACAGCTATTCTCGAAAAGCAAACTACAATTATTTGACATGTTATACCGATTTCGATAGCGATTTTTTTTTTAATTTTGAATGAACGACACCATTGATTTGGCGTTAATTTGATTGTCTAAAAGCAAGTGTTAGACGCAATTATCTTTGAACTTTGAAAACTATCGGGTTATGGCAAACGAGAGTTGAATTCTTTATCTATTTAAGTCTTTATCTTGATGAAACCATCATTCGTTCTAAAAATAAGACATTAATTATTAAGGGTCTTACAATAAGGATATAACAGTTGACAATTTTGATAAAGTAAGGTTTATTACTGTATTATATTCATAATAACTATATAACTTAAATCTGTACTCATTAAAATTAATATTTACATATAAACAAAATTAAATCTGCATAAACTTTGGGACAGAGACGATATAATTGGACCGTAACCTTGAGCGTTATCGTATAACTCAAACAGCGGCGCTGCTACCAACTTATAGTTCTTAGGGACAGCAAATAGAGCTCTGTCTTGCAGTTGCACTAGAAACAGGCGCTTATGCTCTTTCGGTTTCGTGATGTGCGGTGGAATGTATGGATATTGTGGCGGTTCGAAGTTCGGACGCCACCAATTACCTGTCACAAAAACAGGAAAAAAAAAACTGTAAACAACAACTATGCAGACTTTTATCTATAAATTAAACAATACATATGTTTTCAGTCAGTCCTTTGTGTCCCCATTGCAGGGGCTCAGGCCTTCCTTATGGATGGTTAAGGAGCATGGGCCATGACCCTCCACGTTGGTCCAATGCGGATTGGAGGGTATTAACGACTGCAAATGCAGCCGGGACCAACGGCTCAACGTGCCTTCCGAAGCACGGAGTAGCTCGAGATAGTAAATTTTTCGGTCACCCATCCCGTGACCGACCCTCGCGAAAGTTGCTTAACGACAACGATCGTGTGCCGCGACGCTTATAAACTACGCCACCGAGCTACTAAAAAAAATACACGGCAGCCAAAATTGAAGTAAATACAAAAATAAGTATTATGACTTGGTTAGTGGCGGCCATCTTAGATTACAAATGTTCCAGAGAACAAAAGTTCTTTTAAATCTAAATAAAATTCTCATTAAAATTAGAATTTTATTTAGACAAGCCATAATAGGGATGGGGGCTATTTTTTGTTTGTTTGTGGGTCAGGTATATTATTAAACAATATTAAATGCGTATTTTTTTCTTTGTAAACTGTGACGTAACAAGCCCCCGCTCCTCAACTTCAATGCCTATTATCTAAGCCATTTCTTGTTTAAATTGAAGCAAAAAAAATGCGTATCTAATATTTTTATGTTATCCGTCGGACTAACGGTCAGTTGCACAAACGTCCATTAACGTTTAATGACGCCCTTAAGCTCTAATGAATGTCAAAATTGTATATTATTTGTGTCGCTTTGAACTTATGATAATTTTAATGGATGTCTGTGCAACGGGTCGTTATCCGTATTTAGCTATTTCTAATGATAAACTATACATTTATATGCGTTAAGACAAAAAAAATATAGTGAAACTAGTTTTTGCCCGCGACTTCGTCCGCGTGGTAAAGTTATTTTGACCAGCATTTCTAACGAATTTATTCATAGAAGAATGAAATATCACGCAAAAAAGATATCGGGATACAGGCCACATCAGTTGTTGCAACTGTCTGCCTGTCTTTGATAATAATAATAAAAAACATTTAAAAAATAACAAGCACGTCGTTGTTTACTTATTTCAAAAACATAATCCGCACCACATTCTTATCTTATATATAGAACAATTTTAACATATAACACAAGCAACGAACTGATAATATTTTCTGTTTTACCGACGAATTGGTATAGCAGTCCAAGCTAAGGGAAGGGTAGGGCTTCCAATCCCGCAGTATCCCGCGGGATCCCGCATAAAGAATAAATTAATATAAGGCGTTTTATTTGCCTAACGAATAAATCAACATAACTTTACATTTATTTAAGTTTTATTATTGGCGTGAGATCAATAAATACTGAAAAAAACAACAGTTAAAACTCTCAACTATCAACAAAAAAAAAACTTTCATCTATTAAATATATTGCTACTAAATTAAATTATGAACCAAAAACATTTTCAATGATGTTGACAAAAGTAACTATGACTTTAATTATATAAATTGCTCATCTTATTTGTCAGTCATTGAGCAATAGCGCTCGTGAGAAGATAAAGTGCACGTTTCTTTTCAGTACAGCGAATCCCTCCGATCCCGCGCTCGTAATCCCGCAACTCGGAATTGATAAAGGATATGGGATCCCGCAATACCGAGATTAGGCGTCCTACACTTAAGTAACAATTGATTAAGATACGAGTTGGGCCGTTTCACTATTGTATGATATTATTTAGTTTGTATGCTACCTTAATATCAATAACCTACCTGAATAACCAATGAAAACTCACAATTCTAGTGAGTTATTTAAATAATATCTTTTATAGTTATTCTAAAATAATCTGATTGTCACCATAATATTTCGAATAATATAATTGAATCTTACCTATAGTGTCTTCGATGAGCCAGTCTTGTTTAATCCCGTCCTGTCTTCCCAAAGTCTCTGTAAGTAGCCTCTTTAAGCCATCAATTTCATCCTGTGAAATATGGCACATTTATTAGATAAATAAGTAATGAATAAAACAAAATTGATTTACCAATAAAAACGCAAAAAAAAAACACCTTAAATGAAATGATATAAAAAAACAAATAGAACTAACAGAAATAATATTATATAGATTATATGAGGTTAACTTTCGGTTGTCTTTAGTGATAAAACGTTTATGGTTAATTGTTATAATTCTTTTTTTCATTTACAATAAAAAAGAACCTGGTGACAGACAGTGGAATCTTCGGAATAGGTGACTATTTTTAACCAAACCAAAATGACAACACATTATTATACTCTATGGCAGTGATTCTCATCCCCCTGAGGGATTCAATGAAGGTCTAAGTTGGTGTGAAATAAAAAAGGAGTTAGGACGAATTTTGGGAATATGGTAAAAAATGTCGCAGCAGTCCACCGAAACCAGTAAATTTTTTAAAAAATGTTGAAAAAACATCACGTAATTAATGGACAGCCCCAAAGTAAAAATGAATCTCATTAACATACCTCTCCAGGATTAAGTTCTCCGCCGGGCAGCTTGAAGAATGCTGTTCCAAGCTGTAACAGCAGCACATGTGGGAGACCATGTTCATGTACTAACAGCACACCTTCGACAGATCTACAACAAACAATATCTCCAATGAAGTGATAAAGCAACCCGCAAAACCAAAATTGTTCTTCAGAGCAGCGATTATTAACTTCCATGGTAATAAATAGGTATAAAGTCTGGTCTCCAAACAGAGTTTTGTATTTTGTAGGTTCATTTACTGCATCTGTTCAAGTGTAATAGCAATATGCAAATGAGTTAAAGAAATGTATAATGCTGGGTCATAGAACAAATTCCACTCTGGTGACGGAAACTTCAACAGAACTTATAAACAGACTTTTCACAGAACTGGTTTTTCTAATAAGTCCGTTGGAAGAACACAGAGAATGCAGAAAGATCCAACTACTAGGATGCACAGTGAATCATCTCAAGTCAGGCACTGGTGTATAATCAATGACTAAGTAACTGACTAAATTTTGCCACTCTTTGAAATTTAGCCTCCTGCACAGATACATCAATGAGCGGCATCACTTGTATCTTACTGTACATTATCTATCAATCTCTACTAACAGATTCATAGGAAATTACAATTGTAAACTACTGTTCATTGCCGCACTAAATACGCATGACAGACATTAGAAGAGCATGCAAAAGACAGATACACTGCAACTTTATCTTGCCTTTAGGCTTACTTACAGCAAAAAATTAAAAGCTTATTCCAACACTGCTATTAAATTCTTTTACAGTAAAGTATCTTAGAGCATTTGTTTTTGTATTTGTGTTCACAAAGATTCTATGGAACATTCATTTCATGTAAACGGCACTAAAGCATGCAAATTGCTTAAAATGTTCTAGTGTGTTCAGACACTCTCATCAGTTCACTTCAAAGCATTCTTATGATCTATTGATTAGACTACATATAGCTATCAATTTCATCAGCCAAATTCAAGTTCTTCATTAGAGAAGAATCAAAATTCATGGTTGTTGATATTCTTTGGGTTAAACACTTAAAACAAATTTTCTAGAAGAATAATCTAGTTCAGTTTGCCTTTGGAGATAGTTGACCTAAGTATATAATATAATAGGATTATATACACAATGGTCACAATTTTTTTTGTAGGGACAATAATGACAAATTGGAAGAGTTAATGGGAACAGCACGCGTAGCATGACAAACTCGAGAAACGCTTTGTCTACACTCATTTGTCAGTTTCTCGGGTCGAGAGTGAGATATTGTATGGGCGCAACCGAGAAAAGTGACATTGGAGTGTAGACAAAACGTTCTCGAGTTCGTTATGCTACGCGTGCAGCACGGGTAGCTTGACAAACTCGAGAAACGCTTTGTCTACACTCACTTGTCAGTTTGTCGGGTCAAGAGTGAGATATCGTATGGGCGCACCCGAGAAGTGACACCCGAGAGTGTAGACAAAACGTTCTCGAGTTCGTCATGCTACGCGTGCTGGTCCTAAAAGTCGTACTGATACGAATTTGTCTATGTCTAGGGTCGCAGCGAACGAGAGTTTTTTATATAAGTGAGCACTGACCATGGTATTTTCAAACAGCAAATAATTCAGACAGTTATAACCTTACCTTCTCATTCCAATTTTTGCGAATTCATCTCTCATCCTTTGGAATCTAGCTGGCACCGACGCGTCCTTCTCAAATAATGACTCCTTAGTGCCAAATGTGTAATTCGTCAGAGGATATAGATTTATTGTTCGGTTGAGTGTTAGACTTGGGTTATTTTGACTATTCTGATGTTGGATACCAGGCCTGGCCGGCCATGGTTTATTACCTGGCTGTCCTTGTACTGCAGCCATTTTAATCTTGTAAGGTATTTGAAAATAATCACAAACAAGCGCTGCGTAACTATAGAAAAGAGTCAACGACGCTAAAAGCCGATCCGGCAGACGCATGCAGCCATTTTAAGTAGTGATGCAGCGACGTATCGAAAAATCTATGCTAATCGATTATTCGACGCCCATTAACATTGACTAAATCGATATCGAAACAGCTATATTGATATATTGATATCGAACACTTCCAACAAATCAGATAAAAACCAAAAAGTAAGTGGGTATTTCTTCGAAAATTCAACTTACGTTATGATACATTATACCCCATAGTAATAAATCTTTGATTGATATTTTTTTTATTTCAAAATCTACATAGAATCCTATATCGTAGCATACTGATGTCACTGATTTAAGAAAATATATATGAATTAGATTAAATTATTTTTGAAGAACAATAATAACGGATGTATCATAGCTGAAGTTCAATTTCCGAAGAAACAACCAATTGTATATAAATTTTATCATCCAACGACTGATCTTCACAAATTTTGAAAGGCTATTTGAAAGGCATACACTATTCCTCGTTGCGTTGTCTAAATATTGATATATCGGTTTCGTGAAGCGATTTATTGAAATCGACAGAAATCGTTTAAATATTTAATAAATTCAATATAGGTATTTTGGGAATGTGGTTCCAAACCCTTAAGATATTTAGTTGAGAGCCGAAAACAAATCGATATTTTAATTAACTTTGTACCTCTTAACGAGGAAATATTTAAAGTTTATAAATATAAATAGTTTCCGAAATCAATATGACCTATATACCTTCCCGGTTTTCTTTCATGTGATAAAGTAAGTTAATTATCATAACTCAATAAACAACTCATATTATATTTGTACTATTTCGAATTCGTATTTATATCATAGTTTCGAACTTTGTAAATTTCAGTTTTTTAATATGTTAAGTAAAAAGAAAGGAAATGACAATCTTTGGTCCATTCGTTTCTTGTAAAAATCAACTTTGCTTAAGTTGGCATCTAATGAGGTCCTTTTTTTAGTGTTTTCTTTTTTTTTAATACTTCCTCATTTAAGGACTATAATAATTGATCGATTTTTCAAAATGTTGTCAATATTCAATAAACAATTGATTCACGTGTGTTTTTTTTTAAATTTGATTTGATTTATACCCATAGTTTTTATAAAACTTTATTTTGAAGGGCGATTTTTTTTCATGAGCTTAATAGGTATTAGAGAATCACTGCATAATAATGCCGTGACATACCCGGAATAATGAAACGTGAAGATAATAAGTATTTTGAATCAATTGAATCAAACCTTGTTTAAAACTAATCATCTTTTGGATGTAATAAAATGTTCATCATACAGGTTTAAATCCTAATGTAGTTTTATATACCGATCTCATGTAAAGTAAATCGATTCTCTTTATTTACGATTGAATAGTAGAATGTATTATATAGTTCAGATTCCTTTGCATTATGAAAACTTAATCTAATGTCACAATAAAATTGTGAAAATAGAGATTGTTTACAAAAACTTGTTTTGTATTTGTTTCACGGGTGCTAAAATAATGTCCCAACAACTAGAACTTCTCACTGAGAACTCCCACCAATGGATAACGGTATCATTTGTCACACCAGAAATCCAGAAGAAAGAAATCAAACCATTTGTTATTCGTAAGTTAACAACATAAATGAATAACTGTCAAAACTCCTTCCGCATGGTATAAATATTGGAATAAAATATTAAAACGCTAAAGAAATATATCTTATCAAGCATTTAAATACGGTTTTATGGTTTTAACTTTAACAATGAAAAACTTCCGTACAAAATCTCAGCCTCAACTTCAACCCCCTTTTTCGCTTGAAAACATTGCTTATGTTACTTGTCACTCAAATCTGACTTTATCAAATATGCAAGTATTTTAACTGCTTAATTCGGTAACTGTGCAATGTATGTGACATTGTCTAATATTTTTTTTTATATAAAGTAGGAATAGTATGGATTATAATAATTAAAAATTACACAATTAAGCCAATTGTCTAATTTTAAAATTTATATCACAATACCTTTCAAATATATACAGGTGGTAATAGTGGTTTATGAAATTGTGTAACTTTAAAGTCAAAATCACTTTTGAAACTACTCATGATTTGTATGATATAAATGTCATAGACATTCATTTTGTTTGACATTTACCAGTAGTTTTCAAAGATATTTGTAAAGTGAGTGTGGACTAGATGAAGGGTCTCCTGACCACATATTCCTCAATTTTCCAAATATTTCTCATTCCCTTTATGATATTTTACCCTCCAATATTCCTCACCCACTTAATAGCAAGTTTGTTCTTCAGTCAATTAATGATGCTTCAGCAGTCAAATCACTAACTAAATTTTTGAGTGTTAATCAACTAAAACTTTAACGTCAGTGGTGTAGTCTTAAACCTCACCATGTATCACCAAGGGGGATGGGGGGTCAAAAAATGTTGAAAAAACATCACATGATTAATGAACGGCCCCTTGAATGAATGTTTTTAAATCATATAATGGTCTCCTACGTGAAGTTGGCAGTACTGTGGTGACGCAAAGGGCCATCAAAGTTAAAAAAAGAAGAACTATCACTTTGCTAAGACAATTCTAATTAACGTCAAATAAATGTTTTTGTTTACCTATTTAATAACTTTCAAAAAATGTCACAATTGTAATTACTATCTAATGTCAAATAGTTGTGGAGTGAAGTTCGTGAACATCTTTCAAATGTCAAATTCGAAGTGACTGTGGTAGAATTTAAAGTGTCTATTAGGCCACTGGTCGATTTATTAAGAAATATTAATATATACTATTATTCAAAGCAAAAACTTATCATAGCACTTTTCTACTATGTTTTACTGTAAAATTTCAATTGAATCTCATCAAATTTCATATTATAATAAAATAATTATAACATTATGTGAATTTATCAGACGCTCGTTGCCTATCTGATGAAAGATGAATTACATCTCATTGATTGCATAATATCCTTGCACATTCGATAATAATTACCTTGGGTTCTGACAAAGACCTCAATTGCATTTTACCATTGTTCTTTTATATTCTATCAGGTTTTCACAAACCTTTTTAATTTTAAATACACCCAAACCATATAAATGGACTTGGAACTCAGTAATATTAATATTCATTATTGCAGTGGCACTCAAAGAGTTAGAAGGCAAACCTGATGCCAGAACATCAAGTCTGGTAAACGCTGATAAGTTTGCTGCAGTTCGAGAGGTAGTCAGACACTTTGCTAGACTTAGATCTGCGACTAAGGAAGCTTGGGGACAGGACGATGTATTGAATTTCTTGGAGGGGCTAAGGTTGGTTTGTATATGTACTATAAGATTTATATTCATATGCGGTTGGATTTATAATAATAATATAATTTAGTGCACACAATAGAATGTAAGTAACAGAGAATCAGGTGGCCTTATTGCTTAGCATCAATCTTTTTCAGGCACGAAAACCCGTGCACGACGAAATATACATCAGGGTTCGTCAATATATATAAGGATTACAAACTTAAATATTTCAAAAGACAATTGCTTAAACAAACAAATAAGTTTTGTATAAAATATTTTTAAAAACTACTTTAATAAAAACAACATCTATTTCCTATGTATTTATATCAATTTTTTAAATATATAAGAATCTTCTATATATCGCCCACAATTACAATATGTGTAGACAGTAAACGAATATCAATACATATTATTTTTCCTGGTAGCATTTAATATACTATTATCGATTATCACAATTTTATGCTTATTATACTTAAATTAATTATGAAAAAACAATTATTTTATGCTTGTTGTCACGTGAACGCAAACAGCGCGTGACGCCCTCTTACTCATATCAGAACTTAGAGAACTCATGCACAACAGTGTGCCAATTCTACTAAATAAAATTTGTTTAAATCGAATCCCCCAGAATTGAACCTCATGCATACATAGAACGATATTCGTTGCAGAGTGCCGTGACGTCATAACGACGCTAAGACAGAAGTGGCGTTTTCGCGGGAAATCATGATTACTAAATTTATTTTTAGATCTTAACTTATTATACGAATGATATTTAAAAAAATATGTTAACATACATTTTATGTATATCTATAAAAAAAAGTTACACCCCTATTGGTATGGTGATCGTCTGCAATCGTTCTTTTATATTTAAATGTTTATTTGTCGTCTTTTAGATTTTCACCAGAATGCGTTACAGAGCTTGCGTCTTTATTGTGTGTTGACAAAATATACGAAAATATACCGACGCATCTGAGAATGAAGCCGGGACTGGCGAGTATGCAGTGGAAAATAGATATTTCGCTGAGGTATACATTATTCATATCCCTTAAATAATTACATTCTATAAAAGCTTCTTTAAAAATGATAAAAGACCTTAAACATTGGCGCACTTCCATACTAACTTTCATCCCCTATTTCAACCCCTTTTTGCAATAAAAGATAACCTTTCCTTTCCCAAGTTCAACCCTGTTTATTTGCACCGGACATTAAAATCACCTCATTGGTTGTAGCGTGAAAACGTAACAAGAGACACCTATAGGTATATACCTATATTCACCTATAGGAGGCTATATTATACGCAGGTGACATAGGCTATAATACTGATGATGTCTGTGTAACAAAAAGATAATAGAAAAATATTAGTTACGTATTTTTAGCTTCAATCACAACAAGAAATAGCTTAGATAATAGGCATTAAAGTAGAAGAGTGGGGGCTCGCTACGTCACGACTATGTAAAAACATACAAAGGAGTACCGTGCGACATAATACGTGTTTAATATTCTCTCATAATCTAACCGACGGACAGACAAAAATGAGTCATATTGCATCGCGAGCGAAGTCGCGGGAATACAACTAGTATATGACAACCTCCGCGGTGGAGTGGTTCACACGCCGGTTTCAAAGTGTCTCTCTTGAGTTTCCGAGTTAGATTGTCGTTCGGGTCAATGTAGAAAATCGACTTTTCTATATTATATCGGGTCTGGGTGTTGTGGTACCTTCTTTGTTTCACTCCAATATACGTGGACTTTAGCTACTCATCTTGGAATTTAAGCAATGTATGTTCTCTATGTTATTTTATTTTAGAATAAAATAAATTTTACTTTAGAATAAAATATCTTTATTGCCATTATTTTCTTTATTTCAGTCAATCTAATATAGATACAGAAAAAGCAAATGCTAAAGAAATAATGAGACGGGACACCCATATATTATTAATATTCAAACTAACAGACGGACAAACGAAGACTTACAGGTTATCAATAGTGAAATTCCACGAGCTCCGGTATTCTATAGCTAACGCATTGAAAAGTATGATTGTATTAGAGAAAAGGAAATGTATGAGAAAAGACTGACAAAGATTCTCCTGGGGATAGTGTCCCTTTAGTCAAATAATTAGCTACCAAAATTGTACTTTGTTGCCTAATTGTTAAAGTAGAATATTAATGGATAAACAATTTCATATCCGCGAGTGCATTTTGGATAAAAATTAATATAATAGGGGTTAAAGTATGACATTGCCGATTTGTACTGAAAATCAAAATTTGTGTAATTTTTAATAAATTTATTTAATCAAAATAGTACCCATTATAATCTATACATTGCTGCCATCTAATAGGCAGGTCATTTACGCCTTAGAACTCTGAGCATCTAGACTGTACAAACTGTGTGAAAAAAAAGGTAGACCGTTGGAGCAAGGTGTGAGAATACGGAGGATGAAAAAGGTTTCTAACTGCAGTTCCAGAAGGGTCACAACGGTTTCTCGCGCTGTATGACGTCTCGCGTATTCAAAAATCACTCGAGTTTTCGCAGTATCCATCTTTCTTGCCTAAGTTGAATAAAAAAAAAAACAATTGAAAGTCGATATTCAAATGTCTCACATTTTTTTTTAAAGAAGTCATCATAAAAACCATGTGAAAAAAGTTTCTTTCGAAAACCTCAAACCATGAAGATTCTATATGTCAATTCAAGGAACTTATTACAATAAAACGGCAATTTCATACTTTAACCACTGATATATGCATCGCAAACATTAAATTCAATTAATAAAATAAAAATATCAATTACATTTGTTATTCTAAAAAATCAAGATTTTTAAACTTTAAGTCGCGTAACCGAAAACTGCTCTATAAAAATTATGACGTCATTGTTCAATATGACAGTATAGAATGACAATAAGTGTATGGAAACATGTTTAAAAATTAATTCAAATCGATCATGTCAAGATCAAATTCACAATTTTGTCTTGCCACTCCATAATTTTTGGTTTTCGCACGAGATTAGGGGGGGGGGGGGGTTAAGAAATTTACAGTTGATCGTCACTTTTGTCGCTAAAACTCTTAATAGCCAGAATATTATAAATATTTAACGTGTTTTTTTTGCGTTTTTAGGGTTCCCTACCCATAGGGTAAAACGGGAACCCTATTATTAAGACTTCACTATGTGTCTGTCACCAGGCTATACCTCATAAACCGTGAAAGTTAGTTGAAATTCATACAAATGATTTATTTATATTGCCGTTTCAACGACAGATGCTAATAATCAGAATAAAATAAATCTTTAGGGGGGGGGGGGGGGGGGTTGGCTGCTATACAACAAACGTGATTTCCTTTTTGTTTGAAAGAAAGAAAGTAATTTATTTATTCAGTGACTATACAAGAAAAACAAAAAGGATATATTACTATATGACACTGAAAAAACAGTCACTCAGCATGTGTCGGATGTCTAAGACAGTCCAACGCTGATCTTCCATGGCAACCTTAAGTTTTTGGTTCAATATTGGTAAAAACAACAGGGTAGACGCTGGAAATATTGTCAGAATATTTATTTATATACTATAGTAACTTTAAATATAAATAATTAAATTAAAATCATAAAACATTTAAGGGCCTCTCCCATAGTGCAGACCTTTGCTTATATCCAATACGGAAACCTTCGTGCGCTAGTCTCAGTCGCACTTTGTTTTTTTTTTTTATTAAGAATAGTGGCCGCCAGCGACTTTGTCCTCGTTTTCCATTATTTCTTCGCTCCTAATAGTTGCAGCGTGATGTTATATAGCCTAAAGCCTTCCTCGATAAATGGTCTATTCAACACAAAAATAATTTTTCAATTCGAACCAGTAGTTCCTGAAATTAGCGCGTTTAAACAAACAAACTCTTCAGCTTTATAATATTTGTATAGATAATGGTATGGAATCAGAGTCGCTCTTATACTTAGCTGTTATTTATCGTCGAGTTATTGGGTTATGTATACAAAATTAAAGGGGGGTACACCAGTTTTGGTTTCTGGATGATCATCTCTTAAGTTTGTGCTTAATTAACTGAGCTATTGATATCAGAATCACATTCCATATCCTTATTAAGTTTATTATTGTTATAGTAGTGTAAGGGACCGTTCATTAATAACGTAAAGCTCGAAAGGGGGGCGGGGGGAGGGGGGGGGGGTTAGTAAAAACTCTCGAAATATCACATTTTTTTCTTCAAACGCGCGTTTCCTCTTCAAAAGTGGCGTAAAAATAAAGGGTATGTTCCGATATACACTGCGAGCACTGCGCAGTGGTCTTACTGCTGAAAAATCCGTTCCGTTATGGACTGCCAGTACACTGCTACAGTACCCTAGGGAAATTTATGACGTCATAAATTGCCGCCATATTTGTACTGTGAGCACTGGAGATTTCGAGGTAAGGTGCTTGCAGTGCTTTTGATCACGTGATCAGTCGAAACAGAATCAGAAAATGATAAGTCTCTAAATAAACAAAAAAAAATACTTTATAAGATGGATTTAATTGATAAATAATTTTTTATACAATTTTCCAATTTTCTTTTGAAAAGAGGGAATCTTTATATTTATGTTCACCTTGCATTAACAAATTTGAAAATGGCGCCAAAAATAGGATTAACAGTATACTGGACTGCGTTCCGTTTTAAAAAGTCACCAGTATAACTAGCTATAAAGGAATGGGCTTCCAGTATACTAAATTGACGTCATACTGTTCAGTGGTCGCAGTGTATATCGGAACATACCCAAAAATACACATGATTTGGGTGGAGAGGAGAAATCACGTGATCAATGAACGGCCCTATAATATAAAAATTGTTGTAAAAATTATATTTTTACATAGATAACGACAATGTCGTGTATTTATAATATATATAATTATTAATTGTGGTTTGGGATCATTCAAGTATTTAAGTGCGTAAGCTTAATTATATTTTCCAAGGCAGGCAAAGGGAAACGGACTATTACGACATCCGTGGCATAATGGTTTGAGTGCGCGTCGCCATCTCTGAGGTCCCAGTGGCCTCCCTTTGGAAGGTATAGCGTTTGTGATAGCGATATATGGTATTATATGTATTATGGTATTATAGTGAATACATATAATATATACAATATGGTATATATTATATGTATTTATATTCAAAATTTATGTATCTTATAAGTATTAATGCATCTTTACTAAATGTTACTTATTTTCTTGAATTTACTTATTTTTACTCTACACCTCCGTTTTTCATAACTGCTATTCATTCTTCTCCATCCAAAGGTTGTCAGGTAGAAATCGCTGTTAGCGATAAGACCGCCAATTGCTACATCATCGTGTTATATTTTATTTGTAAATTTTATATTAAAAATTGTAATTGTAAAATGGTGTGACAATAAAGTATTATTATTATTATGTAACCTTCGCAATCGCTTTTTGAAACGTATGAATAAAAAAAATAAACTTAATGAAACTTCTATATTATTCTTCTATTCTTCTAAACTTCTAGACTAAACTTCTCGATAGCTTTCAAACTTAGCATATAAGCAGTCGCGATTGCAATTGCTATCACATGTAAAATAGTTGTAATATCTTTCTAAAGTCGAATTTATAGATTCTAAAATAAGAAAATTACGCCCCAATGTCTATGTCCAGAAAAAGTGGGCTTCGGTACCTCATCCATCTCTCTCTTTTAGCACGTGCGTAGTTAACGTGTCATCATCATCACCAGCCCCTTTACGTCCCCACTGCAGGGGCTCAGGCCTTCCTTATGGATGGTTAAGGATGGGCCATGACCCTTCACGCTGGCCCAATGCGGATTGGAGGGTATTAACGACTGCAAATACAGCCGGGACCAACGGCCTAACGCGCCTTCCGAAGCACGGAGTAGCTCGAGATAATTTTTTTGGTCACCCATCCCGTGACCGACCCTTGCGAAAGTTGCTTAACGACAACGATCGCGGGCCGCGGCGCTTATCCACTACGCCACCGAGCTGTTTGTATACAGCTTTATTTTATTGCATGCGCCAGAAAAGAGAGGAAATCTTAATATTTGAATGATCTTGGATTAAAAAAAAGGTCAAATTATATATGTCTTTCTACGTTTTTCTAGAAAGATGGTGCGTCATCTGCATTTAGTTAATTAATATATTATAAGAGTCTATTTTTATCATGAAATAAAACTCAAAATTTATACATTTTTGTTTTATTTATAAATTACAAACGCTGTCTTACCCACAATGGAATGGCTAAACCGTTTTGTATGAAAATTAGTACACAAATAGAATAAGGCATGGAAACTTTTTATCTCAAATAAATTAACACTCTGTATTTTATGTTTTTATATAATAAAAAAAATTGTACTTGAGAAATAAAAAAAAATGGTATAAGTTATCTTCATTCATAAAAAAAATCAGTTGCTTCTTATATTTTCATTGCTTGATATAACATTTTCGATGTCTGCTTTCTGTAACAAAAATTGCGGTTTTAATGAAAAATACTTAAAAAATCCACTTTGTCCCTGACACAAGATGGGACTCGAACCTGTAGCAATGGAAAGTATAGATGTATAGCTATGACTCCGAAAAACACAAACGCCTAACATCCAATAATTAATTTATTGCTCAAGTTAGTGTCAGCACCAATTAAGGGCCGTCCATAAATTACGCCACACAAAATTCATGATTTTTAAGACCCCCCCCCCTCTTCTTCCTTCCTTCCCCCCTCCTGTCACCGGTTTGTCTATACAAATTCTACTAAATATTGTTCGAATGTGTTCGTCGACCCCCCCTTTCCTCCCTCCTAACGTGTGAAGTCCCATCTCCTTTGTCAAAAGGCATTTACGCAATTTGACAAAGGTAGAATGGGACAGCCGGTATAGAAGCGAAACCACCGCCGCCACGACAAAGGCCTTTTACCCAGTGGGGAAAAGGCCTTTGCAGTTGTAAGAAAGATGAAGATAGACAGGTGGGCTGCACAACTATTAACGGGGCATGGAGATTTTAAGTCTTACCTCCATGATTATAAGTGCAAGGATACCCCATTTTGTGAGTGCGACCCCCAAACAAGGCAGGATGTATTCCACGTTTTGTTGGAATGCCCAATATTCGGTACAAATAGGCATACTCTACAGAATAGCATCAACACAAACCTTAGTAAAGAGAACCTAGAAATAATAATAGCAGACAATGAAGATAGAGACAACTTTATGAAATACGCTTGTATAATAATAGAAAAAGTAGCTAAGAGAAATAAGGATTGAATGAGACTGTAAATTGGAATGTAAACAACAAAAGATAGTAATATTAGAAATAAGTAAGTAAGTAATCTGTAATAGTATATAACTTAAATAGATAAGAACTGTAAGAATACCAAAAATGTAAGATAATACATACGAAATATGTAACATATATATAAAAAGAAAATTGTAGATAAATAAAAACAAAAATATGTAAATAGTAAATAAGACAAAGAAAATGTAATAGAAATAAGACAAGAAATAAAAGAGGGAAAAAGAGCGATCCCCAAATGACAACAGGTCATAAAACCTGTAAAAAAGAAAAAAAGATATATACAAGCAAAAAATACAAAGTAAAAAAGACAGTCTGCTATAAAGTGGGGGAACCTGCTTGAAAAAGATAGAGATCTGGCTACCAGGTAATTTTAAAGGAAACCACGAAAACACTGTCACAGCCGTATATTGTTATTCTCACACTGAAGTTTTACATTTGTTTCGTAAGTCTAATAGTATGAATGACATTTATTTAAAAACTGAGAATTTAGAAAATAAACATGCCAAAAAGGTTTGCGTAGCGGGTCACCAACATGGCCCCCGACGGTGAGAAGCACCTATTTAATGTGGCCGGTGACCAGCAACGCTAACTTCCGCGTTGGGCGGCGCAGCACACCCCCTTTTGTGGCAACATCGGCCACGCGAACTACTCCATCTTTGCCGGGATACGTGGCTGTTATTTTCCCTCTAGGCCAGCTGCATCTTGGTAGTGTGCCGTCTGCTATAAATACGAGGTCGCCGACTTGGAGGTTGACTGCTGATTGGGATGTAGACCTTCGTGGTACCAGGGTAGGCAAATATTCTCTTATGAAGCGCTGCCACATTTGATCGGCGAAACGCTGAGCCTTCCTCCAGTTCACTCGCCTATAAAGATCACAATCTTCAAATTGTCTTAGAGGTAAGTCGCTACTGGAACTTCCGATCAAAAATGTAAAAGGTGTTATAGCGACGTCCGAATCCTGATCAACAGGCACATGTGTAAGGGGTCTTGAGTTAACAATACACTCCGCTTCTAGGATCAATGTGTGTAGAACCTCCTCCCGAGGCGAACGTTCTTTTAAGGTGACCATAATGGAGTTTTTCACAGATCGTATTAAGCGTTCCCAGCATCCACCCATAAACGGCGCTGATGGGGGAATAAACCGCCAATCTATTTTATGGTTGCTGCAGAAGTCGTAGAGGTCAGGTAACAATCTCGCTGCACCGACGAACGAAGTCCCGTTGTCCGAATATATGCGAGCTGGACAACCTCTTCTCGCTATGAAGCGCCGGAGAGTCATGATTGCAGAGTCTGCCGAAAGGTTCTCCACGACCTCAAGATGTACAGCGCGAACGGTCAAACAAGTAAAAAGAGCGATCCACCTCTTCGCCGTTCTTCGACCTATAGAAACGTTCAAAGGTCCGAAGTAGTCCAGGCCCACAAATGTGAACGGTCGCTGGTTATGTGACAATCTCACGTCTGGAAGATCACCTAAGGGAGGAGTTATAGGTTTCGCCTTTCGAATCCGACAAACTAGGCATTTTTGTGATACTGCACGAACTGATGGTCTCAAATGGAGGATAAAGTACTTTTGACGCAGCTCATTAACCACCAGTTCGTTGTTGCCGTGTGCATATCTCTCATGATAAAAGCCAATCAACAGTCTCACTATTGGATGTTTGCCGTCGAGTACAACTGGACTACATTCTATTTTCGTAGAAAAAGCCGTGCGCCCAGATAGCCGAAGGAGTCGATCTTCTCCAATAAGTAGCGCGATATTCTTTAGCCTACTTTCATTTGAAACAGGGCGTGCTGCTTGAACGAGCATTAATTCATCAGAAAAAGAATCTGCCTGAACGACGCGGAATAAATGGACCTCTGCAACGTTGAGGTCTGCAATCGAAAGCAACGGAAAATTAAACCGATCGCGAGGGGCATTTGTAGAAAATTTAAGAGTAGAATTAATAAAAGATTTAAAAACTCTACAACATTGAAATACCCGCGCTGAAGCTCGGAGTAAACGAATCCACCGACTGAACCGTTGGTGGCCCGCAACTACCGATGAAGGTAGCTCACGCGGTACTCCTGAAATTAGGAGTCCCACCGATTCTGAAGTACGTTTCAATTCTTCAAGTATCGGTGGGACACTGCACATGGCCAGTTTTCCTGAGAAGACAATAGAAATGATGGCCCGGTAAACCACCGTGACGAGAAAGTAAACGCCCGATTATACCGCGTAGCGTCGTCTGCCACATTTAGAGCCGTCGGAGTATACTTCCAGTGACTGATGTTTGTGGTCTCGACAATTTCTCCAACGCGAAAAGAAACGAAGGCTTTAAATATACAGGCGTCGCTGCGCAGCCATTTTAAGACGGTAGTGGAATCCGTCCAGTAGTATGTAACGCTAGGCTTTCTCCTATGTGCATCAAGTATATATTTACCAAAACGGGCAGCAATTAGTGCTGCTTGTAACTCTAATCGGGGGATAGACACTGGCTTTAATGGAGCTAGTCGACCCTTGCCACCGATTAAAGCTAAACTTACACTGTCATCTTCAAAAGTTAAGCGCCAGTAAGCTACGCACGCATAAGCGCGCTCACTAGCGTCGGCAAAAATATGCAATTGAACATCTTTGACAGATAATTCGGAAAAACCTAAATAGCACCTTGGAATCGCCTTATTAGCAAAATTTTGAATTTCACAATACCATTCCTTCCAACTGTCAACCAAGGCGTTTGGTAATATTTGATCCCAATCGGAACCTAATTTCCACGTTTTTTGGAATAACACGCGACCTTTCATTATTACCGGGGTAATGAGACCTAGAGGGTCATAAAAGGACATCAATAATGAGAGTACAGTACGTTTAGAAAAGATCTTCGGTAATTCGGGCGACGACTTCATAAAATATAGCGTGTCCTGGCTAACGTTCCACGTGAGACCTAAAACCCTAACCTGTGACTGTGTCGCGGAACCTAGACCTACTTCTGTAACGTTGACTGCATGCAATTCAGAAGGAATGAGAGCAAGGGCTTCTTTGCGATTTGACACCCAAGATCTCATTTCAAAGCAAGCTGCCTTGTGTATGGTTACAATTTCGAATGCTCTGCGAGCAGCTTCGTCAACAGTCTTATAACTGCCCAGAAAATCGTCCATGTAATGGTCTTCAATGATAGACTTTACCGCGTCGGGGTATTTCGACTGAAATTGCATTGCATTATTATTTTTAACCCACAAAGCAGTGCATGGGCTCGACGCGGTACCGAACATCATCGAAGACATACGGTATTCTTGAACTGGAAACTTTGGATCGTCCCTCCACAAGAACCGTTGCGCGTCTCTATCTTCAGGTCTAATTTTTATCTGCGGGAACATTTCCCTGATATCACCCGTAAGAGCCACCGGATGCTCTCTAAAACGCATAACAATAGACAACAGCGGTTGAAGAAGATCGGGACCGGGCAGCAGAAAAGAGTTCAGGCTCAGCCCGGCACACTTCGCTGCTGCATCGTGTACGACGCGCAACTTCTTCTTTTGTGGGTGTACGACACCAAAATGTGGAAGGTACCACAAAATTCTACCACAAGTTTGATCTGAACATGGCTCTGCGTAACCCTTGTCAAGCATACCCTGAATATTTAGTTTATATGCTTCGGCATAAGACTTATCTTTTGTCATTTTATTTTCAAGGTTAAAAAAACGTGATAATGCTAGATCGCGACTCTTGGGAACGAAAGGAATATTATCTCGCCATAAAAGGCCCGTCTGATATCTACCAGAGTCTAGGCGTGTCGTAGTATTTTCTAAAATCTTAAACGCGCGGTCTTCGCTAGCACTGCGGTGATACACGCTTTCTATTCCAATAGAATCAAGCCTAAAATATTGCTTTAAAAGCGCATCTAAAGAACAATCATCATTATTTTGAGAGTCATCGATGTGATGAATGAACGAATGGTTCAACATATTAGAACATGGCACGTATCCGAAAAGTACCCAACCCAAGGCTGTAAGTGCAGCCACTGGTTGGCTACGAGTTCCTTGACGTACGGCTTTCGTAAGAAGGAGATGCCAATTATCAGCTCCTATTAAAAGCAATGGTTTGGCTTCCGTATAGCATAATACGTTTGCCAAATCTGACAAATATTCATATTGCACGATATTATCAATATTAGCCGACTGTCTGTTTATGCCTAAATTAAAAATAGACCTCGCTCTAATTTCATGAGTTTCTAAGCTATGACGACCTTTAACCTTTATTGAGACGTAACTAACATCGGTTTGTTTGTTCAACCCTCCGATACAATCTATGGTTAGCTTGCTAGTAGGGCCCTTAGCGCCCACAAAGTCCGCGATTGACTGATCTAAAAGAGTCACAGAACTGCCATCATCGAGAAGAGCGTTTGCGTCTATACTACCCTTCAGTCCTGTGATAGTAACCGCTATCACTTTAAACAGAGGCTTACAAGTTGATAAACTAGAAGGGCAAAGGCTATGTCCTACAGTGGCAAATATATTCTCGTCTTTAGAAACATTAGAATCGCAAGTTTGATCAAGAGTATCGCGAGGAATATTGTCGATTGTCTGTACCTTGATATCAGTAGACGTTGAAGGGGTTAGCTGTATATTAGTATGAGCAGCTGTCGACGAGATAGCATCTCGATGCAATAATGTATGATGTTTGTGATTATACTTGCAATCTTTTACCTCGCACCTCTTTTTACACGATCGATACTGGTGAGATCCTTTTTTCAGACATCTACGACATACCTTATTGTTTATGGTCCACTGCCAACGATTGTCAATGTCAAGTAAAACAAACTCTTTGCAATCCATAATGTCATGTTTTTCTTGACAATATTGACATAGAGTACAGGTGATCTTAGGTTTACTTGACGTTTTGACGGATGGGATTGCATAGACTTTGTCTTTGACGGATGGTTTTATGACAGACCGATTGACAATTTGAGTCGACTCTGTAGAAATAAATCCAAATTTAACATGTAAATATGCTTCATTTTTCAAAAAGTCTGCTAAAATTTCTAATTTGAATTTGCCTGAAGTGCATTTATTCGCGGCAAAGTCGACCCATCTCGAACGCAACAACGGAGTTAACTTACCAACGATAATGTTGACAAATTCAGGCGCTGCAAGGTACTCAGGTTGATTGAGGAGTCTAATTACTTCAACACAGTTTCTAATGCGGCATGCGAAGATGTTGAGGTCGCGCGAAGATTCGAAGGTGCCAAGTCTAGGAAGGTTTCGCACCTGCGAGAGTTGCTGAAGTATAATAAACTCCGGTTGAGCAAACCTGTTCTCCAGGGCTTTGATTATCTGCCGCGGGTCATTAGCAGAGACGAGAAGCATGGATACTGCCTCTCTAGCAGACCCATGAAGCGCAGTGGAGATTCTGGCGATGTTGTCCATCGGCGTGAAGTTTGCTTCGGACTGCTCAAATGTCCTTTTGAACGAGAGCCAGTCAGAAGCACGACTCTGACACCAATGAAAAAGATAGAGATCTGGCTACCAGGTAATTTTAAAGGAAACCACGAAAACACTGTCACAGCCGTATATTGTTATTCTCACACTGAAGTTTTACATTTGTTTCGTAAGTCTAATAGTATGAATGACATTTATTTAAAAACTGAGAATTTAGAAAATAAACATGCCAAAAAGGTTTGCGTAGCGGGTCACCAACACTGCTAATAACAAAAAAAAAAGTGTGAAGTCATTTATGGATGGCCCCTTATATTCAATTAACATACGAAAGGCTTACAGTAAACTATTTTCAATTTATTATAGCATTCTGAATGCAAAATTGATCAAATGTAATTATCAATAGCCGCCGCTACCAGCGGGCCTATTCGCTAATTCAATGAGGAAATATTAAAAAGAAATATTAGTTCCCGAAATAAAACTAGATGTCGCTACGGTACGTTCTTGATTTCTCCATGACAATCTTACCGGTTTTCTTTCATGTTTAAAAGTGAATTAGTTTTCAAAACTCAATATACAACTCATATTCTATTTGTACTTTTAAGTATTTGTTTTGATATATAATTTACGAACTTTCCAAATTTCAGTTTTTTAATATGTTAGTTAAAAGTAACCGAAATGACTGTCTTTCGTCCATTCGTTTCCTGCAAAAATCAACTTTTGCTAGAGTCGCCATCTAGTGGAGGTGCTTTTTTAGTGCTTTCTTTCTTTTTAAATACTTCCTCATAAAAATTATAAATATTTATACTCCATTCATTATAACATTAAAAAAAAAGATGGTCATAGAGGCAGAAGTGCAAAACATTTTATTTTCAAGATAAATAAAAATATATATATATCATAGTTTTGTTGAGACTTTTAACGTTTTTGTAATCTGAAAAGCTGGGTAATTTTCCATTTTTTACGTTACCTCGGGGAATGAGATGAAGCTAGCATTTTCTTAATTCATCATTTACTCCCAAGCCAACATCCGACAAAATTAAAAAACTGTACTGCCGAAAAGTTTGAAGGGATTAGCCAACGTTTTAAATTTGGTAGAGTTATAGTGACATGAGAATAGTGCCGTAACTATCTAACCCTGCTTCTTTAGGTTCTTTAAGATGAACACTTTTTATTGTAATAGTTATTAAATCATTTAAGTTAATCAAATACTCGTAAATTTGTTTAATAGATAGCTTAAATGACAACAGTTAAGTATAGCAGCTGATATTTAAGTGGATATGTAGCAAATTAGCCGTCAGTCTTAAGGGTAACATGATTGTTGTCATTTTGTCACAAAGTATACCATAAAAAGAACCTTATTTCACTTCTGTCTAATGCTATAATTAATGGAGTATATGAATACATCATGCTTGTTTATTTTATGTAACTTTATTATCATATTTATATTTCTATTATTAAATTTATTTGTAACGCGCACATCCTACCTATATTATTGTTATCATTGCTTCTTCCAGTATAGGTTGCCTGGAAGAAATCGCTGTTAAGCGATAAGGCCGCCTATTGTGCGAATGTTTTAATTTTTGTACGTTACTCTTTATTTATTTCTGTTGTGTGTTGTACAATAAAGTTTTTACAATAAAGCTAATGATGTATAGGTATACCTTATGGTGATTCTCTTGTATGTGCGCTACGAGAGTCGCGTGTTCCGCGAATGTTACGCCACATTCGCAAACGAATGTTCGCTCGTTCGCGTGCGTTCGTATATGCGTTCGCAATACACTCTTGCGCTGAGGGACAACATGAATTTTGAATTATAATCATATATAAATGAAGCATTTTGAAACAGATGAATTTTAGAAACAGGTTGTACTTAAAATGGGTTTTGACATAAGAATTTGTTTTATAAATATGCCAATCAATGCATGCTGGCATGTATAAATGTAGCTTGGTTGCGTAGTGGATAAGCGCCGCGGCCCACGATCGTTGTCGTTAAGCAACTTTCGCAAGGGTCGGTCACGGGATGGGTGACCGAAAAATTATTATTTCGAGCTACTCCGTGCTTCGGAAGGCACGTTAAGCCGTTGGTCCCGGCTGCATTTGCAGTCGCTAATACCCTCCAATCCGCATTGGGCCAGCGTGGAGGGTCATCCTCCTTAACCATCCATAAGGAAGGCCTGAGCAGTGGGGACATAAAAAGGCTGGTGATGATGATGATGATGTATAAATGTGTCTTAGAGGTGAAAACACAGGTTTCTGTTATATGTCTGGAAGATGTGAACCATTTTCACTTATAAATATTAAACTGAATCAATTTTATGACAGTAATCTGGAAAATATTACGCTTAGAAAACTTGAAAAAGTAAGGAAAGTATACTACAAAAATTTGCTAAAATACATATGGCATTAAATTGATTACAAAAAAATGTTATAACATTAATTATAACAACAATAAACAAACGTACAAATAACAAAAATATTACAAAAATTGCTCAGACAGACGCACATACGTTTTTCGCTACAATACTAAACTGTGACGTCACATTTTAGTCTGCATCCGTAGGGACAAACACAGCACCGTATCTCCGAAACTATAAATCGCTAACACGCTGCTACTTCTACGTTATTTATCAGATATTAATGGACTATTTATTTATAAAATAAAACATAAACGCAAAAAATATTACAAAGAGGAAAACTTTGTTTGTATGTTTGTTTAATTGTAATGAATAGGCTCAAAAACTACTGGACCGATTTTAAAAATTCTTTCACCATTCGAAAGCTACATTATCCACGAGTAACATAGGCTATATTTTATTTTGGAAAAATAGGGTTCCTTTAGATATTTGGGTTTTTCGGACACAAAGTGTAAAAAATCAACCAGAAAACTTACTTATTCTGCGTATATGTTCTTATTAATTGTAGATCTTATATTTTCTTATTATTTGTAGATCTTATAAATATTTAAAAAAAAGTTCGCGACACACTATACCTATCTACATATGTCGAGTTACAACAACCATATTTATTAAAAATCTTGATTTTTCTTTGGACTACATTTAAACGCGTTTATTTTACTCATGCTATTAATCCTTATCAAAATAAATTATTTCATCACTAAGTACAGTTTATGTAGATGATATTTGGCCTTTGAATGATTAAAATTGGACGTTTGCTTTTGAAGTTATGTCGAAATTATAATTAAGATTTCTGCTGCACGGCCCGTTGCGAAGTGGACGTCACCAAGGCGGGGGTGCGCGTGCGGGAGGGGGGTTTAGATCTATGAGTACCAGATACCAGCAGACAGCAGAAAGAAAGCTAGTTGATACAAGTATCAAGATGTTTTTGTCCTTTTCCCCCCAATTATACAAATTAAATTTTCCCGATTTGCCATCAGAATAACACAGGCGCAGGCGCAGCTAGTTACTGATAAAACAAAACTCACCGCGAAAGTCGCCTGGCAGTGTGGGCACGCCAAGTCGCCGTGCTTACTCGCCCTGTGGGCCCTGAGTGCGTCCCTGCTGCTGTAGGCGCGCCCGCACGCGCACGGGTGGCGCGCGCCGGCCCCGTGCGCGGCGGACAAGTGGCTGGACAACGCGGACACGAACATGAACCTTTTGCCGCAATGGTCACATTCGTATCTATATTCGAAAGGGAAACCGGACGAATTATATCTTTATTTATTATAATTTTATCAATTTCGAAAGAAAACAATAGGCTTGTGTCCTACAAGTGAAAATACAGGTTTTTGTTATATCTTCTAAAAATATGAACCGTTTTAACTTATAAATGTAACAAAACAAATTTTAAGTCACTGATTTGGAAAATATTACGCTTTGAAAACTTGAAAAAAGTAGAGAAAATCTACTACAAAAATTTGATAAAATACATAAGGCATTAAATTAGATATAAAAAATGTTACAACTTTTATTATAACAGCTATAAACATAAACGCACAAATAACAAAGATATTACAAAAATTATCCAGACGCCCATACATTTTTCGCTACTGCAGCACCATGTGACGTCACTGAGTGCCTTGAATTTGTAGGGAGCGTTTTCGGCCAACTAGCAGCAGTTCAACAAACACAGCACCGTATCTCCGAAACTATTAATCGCAGACATGCTGTTACTTCGACATTATTTCTCAGATGTTAATGGACTATTTATTTATGAAATAAAAAAAAAAGTTGTCAACTAGCCTATTATATTGGTAGTACAAGCTGGAAAAAACAGTATCAAAAATTAAATGGTAAACACAGGACCGTATTCTATGTCCGTCAAGATATATAACGCTACAACAATATAAAAGTAATCGGAAACATTAATGTTTTCAAAAATAACCTAATAAAATATCTATCACAAGAATGCTACTACTCGCTACAGGAGTTTTTCAGTGACGCGGGAAGTAATTCCATACATTCATTTCCACCCCTTTAAATTTTAATTTATAATTTGATAATTATATATTTTTTTAAATATAATTATATAACAGTATATTTATAATTATGACAATTTGGATGCAAAAAACTTTTTAATCTTGTTATTATTTTATTGTTATGCATGATACATACTTCATATTATATTTAATTTGATTTTATGATAATTATAGTTTCATTTAACTACTGTTGCAGTGCCCTTATCAGGGTTTATGTCAAGGTACATTAAAAAAAAACAACATCTGTTTCACCACATGAAAGAGTTGAGTTTGGCCTCACAAGCGGGACACTCGGAACAAACACAGAATAAAACTACATAAGAAATAAATTTGCTTAACAACAACGATCGTGTGCCGCGGCGTTTATCCACTACGCCACCGAGATACCACTTGGGCCAATATCCACGCGGAAACACAGGCGCAGGCGCAGCTAGTCTATACTAATATTATAAAGATGTCGCGAAACACATTTTTTACCGCCAAAACGAACAATCGTCATTGTGACAATCCGGTTTTTTCTCAGGAAATAATAATAAGAGAGAAACTTTCTGATATCAGAGAAAAGGGCCGAAAACAAGGTAATTGGTGAATTGAACGGCGTATCAGTAAGTCCTTTAACATTTAATGTTTTACCTATTTCTATATGTGAAATCAAGCATAGTGTTTCTATGCTTTATGTCTTATTGTGTGTAATCAGTACCAAATCAGTGACCGATGCGTCGGTAAGTTTAGATACCTGCGAGTATATCAGATCATCATTAACGGGCAGAGTAATGATGATGTATAGCATCAGCAGGTGGACTGATGATCAGAACAGTGTGTAAAACCAGGCGAGGCATGGGGTGACTGTAGGGGGGGTTGGAGGTCACTAAGGGGAACAGCCCCGTTATCAGTCACATCAGTGCTACCAGATTTCAATGATTTGGGGGCGTCCATAAATTACGTGAGGTGTTTTTTTAAATTTTCTGTCCCTCCCTCCCCCTCTGGTGAGATATCGTGAGATTTTATTCAACCCCCTCCCCCATCCCCCAATCTCACGTGAGATTTTTCAAAATGCAATTTGATGAGTACTTGCGAGTATTTGCCTTGTTGTAGTATCGAGTACTCAGTATCGAGTATCGCTTTTGAAAGTATCGATACCTACTCGGTATCGAAAGTATCGTTCGAGCCCTACAAATATGATGGTTTGACATTCAGTCGATGTATAGCGTCGAAGTATGAATGAAATTATTTTCTTTCGAACGAATTAGTGAATGATCTTAATCGTATACGATTACGCTTAAGATTAAATCTTAAGCATGTACAATCTAGATTAAATGGACCAAAATAGTTTTTTTTTTGTTTCAATCAGAAAAAAAATTGCGTGATATTAGCCGAGACCCCCTCTCTCACCAACGTAAGATTAGATGAGATTTGCCTCGACCCCCTCCCCCCCTTAAACATCTCACGTAATTTATGGACGCCCCCTTTGCGAATCATAATCAGTGCGACATTGTAGAATGTGTGAATTAGCTCAGATACTCTTGTCATTTTATTACCTATCAAACCCACTTGGCGACAAAAGAGGAGTCTTTACTAACACCACTAGTAGTAATAGGATATTATACATTATAAGTATATAACTTACCTAAATGTGGAAACGTCTCGGTGTCTCTTGTTTCTCTTGAAATGAAGGGACAAATTTTCCTGTAAATATGACTTCAAATCAAAACCAGTGATGAATCACCTACTAAGACTCATTAAAACGAAGTACTTGACGTAGTAAAAGCAAATTTTATATCATACTCGCTTTCGCCAGCGGCTTTGGAAATGTTTGGTGGGATAAAAAGTATCCTATTATCTAAGTCAGCTAATACCCTATATTTATAAAAAATTTCATCAAAATCCGTTCAGTAGTTTCGGCGTGATTGACGAACATCCAAACAAAGAAACCTTCACATTTATAATAAAAAAGTAGGATTTCACTTTCCAACTCTTACCATAACGACGCTTTGTTGCAACATGGAAGAAAAATAAACAAACAATTCCCCATTTGTAAATGGATTTTTATCCACATTTTGAAAGTCTGTTTCAGATGTATTACTCATTCTCAAAGAAAGAATAATATAGATAAGACATCCCAGAAAGTATTGTCGGATTGGACTGAATATTAATTATATTATAGATAAAGAAAGGCATCAAAGCTATCAAAAAGTTTATTTAATCTCCCACGATACAATCGCATTTAATATTTTGAAAAATTCAGAACATTTATGAAGCTTTTATTTCAACTTTTATACACTTCCTAATTAGTAATCCAAAAAAAAATATAATAACAATTTCTCTGTGATATCGGCGTCTCGATAAATACAAATCAAATTATCATTCTAAAACATAAAAAGCAACCAATCACCAAGGAATGTCCATAATAACATATACATTACAGAAAAATGACCTAAATTCAAACTATCTATTACAATAGAAGTTAATAGCTCACCCGGGACTTGAATTTGATATCGCACTCGACACAGTAGTAATCGTCCCTCACGTGCACCGCCATCTTGTGTTGGTGCAGAAGAGAGGGATAGACAAACCATCTGTCGCATTCGTCACACTTCACACGCTTGCTCTTGTCGTGACGTCTAATACAAAAGAATAGGGGTCTAAATAACTTTATCTACACTAAAATTGAAAAATTCGAATTACGAATTCAAAGACACTTTATAAACGCATATACATAAAATTAAAAATAAAACTCATTATAGTACCGCTATCTTTTTTATTCATTAAACTAGTTTATGGTTTTAGGCTGAATATGAAAAAATGGCGCACGCATGCGCAGTTTGAAATTAATTTCCCGCGCTTTTCATACATTTTTCTGTCGATCGTGTTTTTGTATTCGGTATTCCAAACAATTACTTTGTTTAATTTCAATTTTTCCTATGAGCGATGATAAAGTAGTGTATGAAACTGCATATAACTCAGGTATTAAAACAATCGAGTCAACCTTATATCGATAAACAGACTCTCGTGTTTTCATACTCCTTATATGACAGTTGCATAAGCTACTATTTTTTATATTTTTATTTCATAGATATACATGAAACATATCTAAAAAAACTATATAAAAAAGTTTCATTCATATAATAAGTCAAAATCTAAAAATCAATTTAATTTTCAAAATTTCCCGCGAATACGCCATCTTGTGTCATGGCGTTGCTATGACGTTACGGCACTCTGAAACATTACCGTTCTATACAGTTTTGGACTAAAGGGAAGGGGGAAGGGGGCAATCTGAGGGGCATCCAAATGGCTGCAAATTCCCATGATCTAATCGTAAATATCGGTAAGAGGCCCCGTAGAAAGATAAATAGATAAGTACAGCCTGTTTTGGAATAAGGAAGTATTTAAAAAAAAAACGAAAGCACTAAAAAAGCACCTCCACTAGATGGCGACTCCAGCAAAAGTTGATTTTTGCAGGAAACGAATGGACCAAAGACAGTCATTTCGGTTCCTTTTAAGTAACATATTAAAAAAACTGAAATTTGAAAAGTCCGAAACTTAGATATCAATACAAATACGAAAAACTGCAAATAGAATATGAGTTGTTTATTGTGTTTTGGAAACTAATTTACTTGTAAACATGAAAGAAAACCGGAAGGGTTGTCATGGAGAAATCAAGAACGTACCGTAGCGACATCTAGTTTGATTTCGGGAATTAATTTTTTTTTTAAATACTTCCTCATTGTCAAATCTTGCGATTCTGTAAAAATCCAGACCCGAATTCGAACTCACACATGTATCTGATTTCACATTATGTAGTGTATAAATAGGGATGACGACAAATTTTTGTTTGTTTGTCCGTCAGGTAGAATGTTAAAAAATATTAAACACGTATTTTTTTATTCTTTTCGTTATCATAAAATTACGGCGTTACATGGAGTTGAAATTTCGCATGACGTCACGTTATGGTACGTTTTCTACTAAACTGTGACGTAGCGAGCCCCCACTCCTCAACTTTAATGCCTGTTATCTAAGCTATTTCTTGTTAAATTTAAATAAAAATTACGTATCTAATATTTTTCTATTATCTGACTGACGGACTAAATAGAATTGCATTTTTTTTAACCCAGTCATCATCCCTATTCTAATGATTCCATTTTTTTGTATAAAAATACAAATCAGTATTGATTGAATACACGTGTCTCAGATATTCTATTCCCATGTCATTTCGAAACTCACTTCACTTACGCCACGAAACGTTATTACCAGAGGTCGGAATTAGGTAGAGTTATTTATGTACTTGCATCGAAATGTTAATATTAATGTGGACCTTCCCGGGATTTCTTTATTTCTTTCTTTCATTGATGTAAGTTTGGCAACGTCGTGCGTGCAGTAGTTTAAATTGTGTAAAAGTAAATAACTTTTTATTTAAAAAATCACGGGATTTTTTTCTGCTCTTTAAAATTGATCTCGGGATTTGAGGCATATCCACTTTATTCTTTCGCTGTATGAAATCAGTGTAAGTACATGAACAACTCTACCTAATTTCGACCACTGGTTATTACCAATTCTAGGTTGAGCGGATGCCGCTATTTGAAGAGAAATCGTTAAATTAGAAGAATTAGTATGATTATTTAAATGCTCACGTGGTGTGTACCCTCAGAGCTTCCAAGCTATTCAGAGTCTTCCCGCACTGGTCACAAGGATGCTTTTCCGTTTTATTGTGACGTGTTCTGACATGTCTCTGCATGGACGTACGTTTACTGCAGATAAATAAATAAATAAACATTAGAATTTGACACATAATTTGAAAGAGCGAAGGTCTTTACTGGCCCCGACTTGCGCTTCAACTTCAGTATGTAAGGTATGCAAAAAAGGGACCAAATATAAATACAATATATATATATATATATATATATTGTATTTCGTACGAAAATATAAAGAGATGAGCGCGATGTCGTCAGATATCTTTACTCCTCGGCGATCGGAAACAGAATGTGTGCCAAAATGGCGGCAATTTGGTTTTATTAACGAACTGTCAAAGTCAGTGTCACCATTCTAATAAAATTAAGAGTATCGATGATCACGCTCTCTTTACAATCGAGTACTTAAGTAATCGAGTAACTAGCAATAAAAATAAAAGAAACTAAATCAAACGATCTTCGTAATGATAATGCGACAACTATATATATATATATATATATATATATATATATATATATATATATATATATTTCCGCCAGCGGCTTCGCCCGCGTGGTCCACTAGTACCTGGTACTCATAGATCTAAGCTCCCCCCCCTCCCGCACACGCACCCCCACCATGGTGACGCCCACTTCGCAATGTTAATATTTTAATTTCGCCATAACTTCAAAAGCAAACGTCCAATTTTAATAATTCAAAGACCGAATATTATCTACATAAACTGTTGTTGTGCCTCACTCGACATATATAGGTATAGTGTGTCGCGGACTTTTTTGTAGATATTTGTAAGATCTACAATTAATTACAACATTTTATGGTTATGTCTATTATAGTTTAGACGGCGTATGCAAAATAAGTAACTTTTCTGGTTGATTTTATACACCTTGTGTCCGAAAACCCCAAATATCTTACGGAACCCTATTTTTTCCAAAATAAAATATAGCCTATGTTACTTGTGGATAATGTAGCTTTCGAATGGTGAAAGAATTTTTAAAATTTGTACAGTAGTTTTTGAGCCTATTCATTACAATTAAACAAACAAACAAACATACAAACAAAGTTTTCCTCTTTATAATATTAGTGTCGATATATATATGTCGGAGAATATCTCCATCATCATTACGAAGATCCGTTTTATTTTGGTTTTTTTATTTTAAATTGCGAGTTACTCGATAGTAGAGAGAGCGTGATCATCGATACTTTTAATTTTATTAGAATCGTAACACTGACTTTGACATTTCGTTAACAAAAAGCAAGTTGCCGCCATTTTGGCACACATTCTGTTTCCGATCGCCGAGGAGTAAAGACATCCGACGACATCACGCTCATCTCGTTATATTTTCGTATGAAAAGTGATAAAATGGAATAAATCCACGTTGGTATACACGCCTGCAGTGTTATTTTAAAGATAGTCCTCCGATATGGACGATCTATTTGGGCTGCGTAATAGCCCCTTCTGACTACCCGCCGACATATATATATTATAAGTCAACGCATTGTCGTAATATAATGGATTACGGCTCATTGAGATTCATAATTGAGCCCGAAGTCAAAAATAAACTTCATATATTTATTTGATTAGATTTGATTTCTTTGTTTGCACAGAATAGACTCCGCAACTAAGTATTAGACCGATATTAAAGATTTTCTCTCACCTACGGGAAGTTACATCATGTGCGGTGGACATAGGCTATACTTTATCCCGAAAACCAGCAAATAAAGGGAAGAAAACAGGAGTGGAAGTTTGTATAGAGAATCAATTGAATTGATGTCAAAATAAACAGTTCCCTAGAAACTACGCAGGCGAAGCCTCGGCGTAAAGCTAGTTATACATATAAAGTATCGAGTGTCTTTCAAGAGTACGAGCTAAGAGTTGATGAATTGGCATCAAGATTGCGTTCAAGACCAAACCAACAACTGGACAGTCCCATTCAGAACGGGATGTTTGGTCACATTATTTAACTATATTACACTAAAAAATTGAGGTCCTCTTTGGATTGGATAGAAATTAGCATAGAGATTGCGTTCAAGACCAAAACAAAAGCTGGACAGTCCCATTTAGAACTGGATGGTTGGTCACATTATTTAACTATATTACACTCAAAAATTGCGAATATCTTCGAATTGGATTAAAATTGGCATCGAGATTGCGTTCAAGGCCAAAACAAAAAGTGGACAGTCCCATTCAGAACGGGATGTTTGGTCACATTAATTAACTATATTACACTAAAAAAATTGAGGTCGTCTTTGGATTGGTTAGAATTGGCATAGAGATTGCGTTCAAGATCAAAACAAAAACTGGACAGTCCCATTCAGAACTGGATGTTTGGTCACATTATTTAACTATATTACACTCAAAAATTGCGATCATCTTTGGATTGGATTAAAATTGGCATCGAGATTGCGTTCAAGACCAAATCAAAAACCGGACAGTCCCATTCAGAAAGGGATGTTTGGTCACATCATTTATAACTCACTTTGAAACGAAGTCGCATTGCTGACATGTATATTTCACGGCATCAGAAGTGTGCGACGTGGAGTGGTGCTCCAATAATACTTGACGAGACAGACGTACACACCCGCACACCTTGCATTTGTACCTTACAATAAAAAAAAAAAAAACGCAACTAAACAATTAATATATTTGATAAATTTAACATTCAAAATGCTATACTGAAAAACATTCTTAAAGAAAAACGCTTAAAAAATTCACTCTGTCCCCGGCACTCTGAGATGGGACTTGAACCCACGACCTTCCGTAATCCGGGCGACTGCTCCTAACCACTGAGCTGCCCAGGACCTAACAGGAATCTTTCAAGCACTTATAACTTTTTCGCTACTACAGAGCGTATTACATACTAATCAATTGTATACCTTAATACGTTTGTAATAAAGCTCAAAATAAATTGTAAAATTAAAGATTTAATTGTTTACATTGAATATGCTCTACTGCACCGACTTTAAAAGCTATATCATACGCGTGTGACCTATAATATAACAAGCTTTTACCCGCGACTTCGTCCGCGTGATATAGTTACTTTGGGCAACATATATTTTCCAAAAAAGCTGTTGTTTTTTGAGCTGATGATGAAATTACCTTGATGTTTAAGTTCGAAGATAGTACAACAAAAAAACCATGAAATGTCCAATATGTTTCAGCACTTTATCTTTGAAACTTTAGATATATTAATCCAATTCGAAATACAGACGAAAACAAAAACAGTTCTGAAGTTTACAAAAAACTCAATCGAAAACGTAATCTATGCAAAATTCTTTGAGAGAAACGTTACCGCAGATTACTTTAGAATAAACGTAATCTAGAACAAAGCGCCATCTTAATTTTATAGATAAATAATTTGGTACACATATAGATTTGACTTTGGGAAAGGACATAGGTCACATTGTATCGTAAAAAGGGGTTGAAATAGGGGATCAAATATTTTATGGAATTTCGTCTTGAATGCAACTACACCAAGTTTTTGCCTTTTAATGAGAAATTATTTTAAGAAAAAAAAGAAAGAACAAAAATGCATCTTACTAGATTGTGACTCTAGCAAAAGTTAATTTTTGCAGGAAACAAATGGACCAAAGTTCCGTTCCTTTTAACTAACATATTAAATAACTGAAATTTGCAAAGTTCGAAACTTAGATATCAATACAAATACGAAAAAGTACAAATAGCACATGAGTTGTTTATTGAGTTTTGAAAACTAATTTACTTTTATACATGAAAGAAAACCGGAAGGGTTGTCGTGGAGAAATCAAGAAAGTACCGTAGCGACATCTAGTTTGGTTTCGGGAACTAATGTTTTTTTTTAATACCTCTTCATTGTATTGAACTTAATATTATTACGAATTATGTTAATATATGTACCAATTTCAAAATATTATTTAATGCATAAGTGCAATGCCTCTAGAGTCGTGTTTAGGTTATATAGTATAAGTTTAAGAGCTTTCATTATCACTTAATGCAATTAATGATCTATTATTAAGCGGATTAGGTCGCGGGCAAAAGCTAAATATAGACATTTCTAAAAACAAACAATTTAAATAACATTGTTGAAGTGAAAAATAATAAAAAATGTTTCCAATACCTGGTAGTATGAGACTTCATGTGACCTCTCAATGATATTATACTAGGGCAATACTGTTGGCATATATCACAAAATAGCCAAGACTTTCTCTGAAATTGAAACATCAAAAGTTTATAGTAAAATCAACTCAATAGGGATGTACACAATGTTTTAATTCTTTTTTTTTATTTATTTATACGCTTTCATGAAATTTATAAAAGCTATTATAACATATCGGAATATTTAAAAGATAAAACATATAAAAAGTAAATTTTAAAAAACATGATACATATTTTGTAGGAAAGTAATTAATATACATTTAAGAATGAATTAATGAATGGATGATTAACAACAATTAGTTATAATGCCAAAAATAATATATTTATGTTTAAATTATAACATTAGCGAAATTTATAATTTATAATTATGAAAATTAATGATAAAAACAGCGAATAAATACTTAATGGCCTTTTTTTATTTAAGGCGAAAATTACCGCGCCGGAAGCGTCAGATAGTATTATCTGTGGTATTACACTACAACATGTCGATACATACTTAATTTTATCGGGTAATACAGTTGCAGTACGCGGTCGTGTAATATTACCAGTGGTCGGAATTAGGTAGAGTTATTCATGTATTTACACTGATTTCATACAGCGAAAGAATAAAGTGGATATGCCTCAAATCCCGAGATTAATTTTAAAGAGCAGAAAAAATCCCGTGATTTTTTAAATAAAAAGTTATTTACTTTTACACAATTTAAACTACTGCACGCAAGACGTTGCCAAACTTACATAAATGAAAGAAAGAAATAAAGAAAGAAGAAATAAAGAAATAAATAAATCCCGGGAAGGTCCACATTAATATCAACATTTCGATGCAAGTACATAAATAACTGTACCTAATTCCGACCTCTGATTATAACATTAGCGAAATGAAAAATTGATGATAAAAACAGCGAATAAATACTTAATGGCCTTTTTTTATTTAAGGCGAAAATTACCGCGCCGGAAGCGTCTGGTAATATTATCTGTGGTATTATACTACAACATATCGATGTCATATTCGTTGCCAAGTGCCATGCTTAATTTTATCGGGTAATACGCACTGTTACAGTACGCGGTCGCGTCATATTACGCGTTATACATTACTCGCAGTACTTACACATATCTTCGTATTACTACAAGCTCACGCAAACATCTATACTCACCATAATGTGTCTCTCCATGTGAGTTCTTAGAACGTCTTCAAAATTGAAACCTTTGACACATTTCTCGCATTTGTATAAAGATCTTAGGTATTCTTCGCTTTTAGATTTCTCCTCCATTTCTTTAAGAACCTGTTAATTGATAACCAATAAACTAAAAATGCAATAAAAAATACAATATACTGAGAATATCCTGAGAAAAAACAAATATATAGGATACAAAAAAATTGGGTACAGATACTTTCTCATCTGAAGTAATATTTCGAAGAACATCAGTGTTTTTCAAACTTAGAATACGCGACCACTTTCTACGCTGCGCTGAATAATGCTAGAGAGCTGTATATAGCAAAAAAACTATACATTTATATGACTACATTTGTAATTTTCTTTATTTAGACATCTATTTTTTTTTCATTTATTTAAATAAATGTACGAAAGTTATATTTTTTGCATACACATCAAAATTTGTTGGTATTTTTCTGATGTAGTACGTTTACTCACTTCACTAATTCATTTCAAAAATAGCACCATGATTTTATATTTTATAGAAACTGCACAAGTCTATTCTTTTAACAAATGTGGGTTTTACTGTATTGGATAAAGGAAAGGATTGTATCGCGACAATGTACCTATATTAGTGAGCCATATCAGTTATAATTTAGTGTACTATAAGTATTATAACATTTCTGCACACTACAACATATTATAAAATAACAGCAGTAGGAACGTTTTAGATTAAAAAAAAGCTTTGTATTGAATAATACGATACACGTACGACCAGGACACTAGTCCAGCGATTCTCAAAGAGGACGATACCGACCCCTTGGGGTGTAAAAGTTTCCCAATAAAATTATTCTCATAGAAGAAAACTGGTTTTGCGGTTTGACTAAGTGTATTTTTAAAACCATCCTATATATGTTGTGTTACGTAAATAAAATTGTTATTATGTGTTATTATAATAAAAGTTTACCCTCCAATCCGCATTGGGCCAGCGTGGAGGGTCATGGCCCATCCTCCTTAACCATCGATAAGGAAGGCCTGAGCCCCTGCAGTGGGGACGTAAAAGGGCTGGTGATGATGATGATGATAATAAAAGTTAATAAGAGAGTATCATTATTATACTTTAAAAAACTCATAAATTGATGACAGTATGTATTTTAAGAAAAATTGAAAATCGTGAAAAAGGACCTCTTGCCCAATATAGGTTGGGAGTATCTGCACTAGAATGTTCCGTCAATATTGCGAGTGTCCTGTATTATTTATCTATACAAAGTTATTTTACCTAGAACGTTCGTTTCGCTCACATATATTGTTGTCCATTTTTTTTCTAATTAAGGGAGTCTCGAAAACGCAGTTCTATGTACTAAAAAGTTTGAAAAACATATCCTTATCTTTATAATCATAATAATAGGGATAATGACTGGGTAAAAGAAAGAAATTCTGTATAGTCCGTCAGTCAAGTAATAGCAAAATATTCGATGCTTTTTATTTTGTTTTAATTTAACAAGAAATAGCTTAGATAACAGGCATTAAGCTTTGTCGAAAATGAACAAAAGCGTGACGTCATGTGACATTTTAACTCAATGTATCGACGTAATTAATAGATTACGCAAAAAATAGTAGTTTATGCAACTGTCATATAAGAAGGGGTATTAAAACACGAGAGTCTGTTTATGCGATAATAGGTTGACTCGAGTGTTTTAATACCTGAGTTATATGCAGTTTCATACACTTCTTTATATTAACTCATAGGAAAAATTGAAATTAAACTAAGTAGGTAGGTTACAAGGAAGTCATTTATGCGTGCGCCATTATTTTACAGTTCGAACTGCGCTTGCGTGCGCCTTTTCTTTCATATTCAGTCTAAAACCATAGACTAGTTTAATGGATAAAAAAGACAGCAGTACTATAATGAGTTTTATGATACAGTTGACGTTATTATGAGTTTAATTTTCAATTGTATGTACATATATGCGTTTATAAAGTGCGTATGTATAAAATCGTCTTTGAATTCGTAAATCAAATTTTTCGATATGAGTGTAGATAAAACGTATTTTATATTCTTCAATCATCTTTATAGTCAACATCTCTATTAACCCATAAAATTACCTGTTCTTTACTTAATTTTATAACAGTATATTCATCAGTTTCTTGCACCATCCTCGAAGTGAAACCTTCCCTGAGGACTTTCTTCTTTCCCCTTCTCTCCTTTTCAATTTTTATATCTACTTCATTTATCTCGTTTTTTATTTCAAGGTCTCTATTGTCTAAATCTATATTTGGTTCGTTATTACATTTTGAATTGTTACATGCGTTTTCAATTTTCACTGTGTCTTCATTTTCTTTTTTCTGCAAAAGTATATTAAAGCTCTTTTGTACATACCGCCGCTTAGGTTCCCATACAAACATACAAAACTTTTGATAAAAAGCAATGTGTTTTATACCTCTTCATTTTCTTCCATTTGCTTCCATTTCTTTTTCTTCTTCTTCACTATTCTATCTTCTGAATTCACTTCTTCTATTTTGAGCATAACTAAAGGTACATCTTCTTCATCAACATACACATCATGGTCGAATATATTTTCAGTGTCCAATGCTTCAACTTCTGTGATACTAAACTCTGATATTTGCACGTCAGATCTTCGAAGATCATAAACATGTTTTATATTTGTTGAATGAAAACTTCTTTTATTTTCCTAAAATAAGAATTATACTTGCATTAATAACCAGAATTTCTATTATTATTTAAATTGGGAAAAATAATATTTCTCTCATTTGGGCATGTTGGTACTCTTTTCAAATCTTATGTTTTAAATTAGCTATATTACTGTTACGATTTAAGGTTCGGGATAAAAATCATTGTCAATTAAATTCACAATTGGTCTTTATTTGCTTTGTGTAATTACAAAAATAATTCAGCAACAATATCCACACTTCTTCGACTTCACAATTAACGTCACTACTCTTGCTTCACATCACTATTCGATAGTCCCGATAGTTCACTTCGCTGGTTATCGATTTCGTATTCAATTCATTAGTCACTAAGATATGAGGCCGGGAAGGGTGGTCCTCCGCATATTTATAGGGGCCGATACCACATCTAGAATGTTCTAAGTTAGGACCTAGAACATTCTAAGTTAGCCCCAGACCTATTGGTGTATTCAAGGGATTACCAAAAAGTTCTGGAACAGCTACCCGTCCCTTTATTCCTCAGTGTATACTTATATGACACACATAGTTCTAACAGCGTAAACAGGTTTCACTGGGGCATAACGCCATCTAGTAATGTGTTGTCGAAAAGTGCCACTGCACTCCGTAACATTAGTATAAATTAGCTAAACAAGTAGCTCCACATGGGGTCGGTGAGGAGGGTTATGGCCCATTGTCCTTAACCATTATAAGGCTTTAGCCCATGCTGTGAAGACATAATAGCTAAATGAGAATAATTATTGAAGATGTCAAAAGAATATAATTTTTAATTACCTCATTCATTAATCCATTTAAAACATCATTCGCTCTTTTACATTGCTGGATAAATCTACTGAATTTAATTAATAAATGTGAACATAGATTGCATATACAAGCATCTGGCTGTACGTTTGAAAACTGAAAGCAACAAAAATATATATTTTATTTAAAAAAAAAATACAGATCCTTAGGAATAACATTCAATTTTATATCAGACTCAGAAAACGCGGACGAAGCCGCCAGCGACTTCGTCCGCGTTTTCCATTATTTCTTCGCTCCTAATAGTTGCAGTGTGATGTTATATAGCCAAAAGCCTTCCTCGATAAATGATCTATTCAAAACAAAAAGAATTTTTCAATTCGAACCAATAGTTCCTGAGATTAGCGCGTTCAAAACTCTTGAGCTTTATAATATTAGTATAGATTGTTCAAATATATCTGCAAAATGTATAGTCATTATTATACAGCAAAAAAAGGCTTGTTTAATCAAAATGATTTAATATTATTAATGAAAAATGCTTAAATAGTTCACTTTGTCCCTGGCTCTCAGAGTTGGGACTCGAAACTATAACCTTTCACAGTCCGGGCAACTGCTCTTACCTCTGAGCTACCTAGCAGGGCTGATCAATTTTCTAAAGCATTTTTCATTAAGAATATATTTTAGCATGCAATAGTTAATGCAACATTGATCAAATATAATAAATTGATTTAAGTTTAACTCCAATAAGACCAAAAAGATTTAAATAGATTTATTTTTATTCTTATAAATTTATTGCAGGCAAAATTGTACAAATGGTGACCTAACTTTAAGGCATTCTATCCCAGTCAATCAGGAATAGATAATATGTAAATCAGTACACAGAAATATGTTAATTATAATAGTTTATATCATCAATTTCTACAAATCTATACATAAATTATGTGATACAATTAACATTCAGTATAAATATATATACGTATTACTATCAAACAAACAAACTACATTTATATTGTACTAAGAATTTACAGATGCAGTAGAAATCAAAAAAATATGGCAGACGGACTGCTTGAAACTACTTAACTATATATTAAGTTACAAGTACTTAAGTAACAAGTACTAATAGGTATATAATTACATCTAAACTTAACATTATCAATGGATAATTTTAAGTCGAAAGAAATTAAATTTATCAAATTGTATTAATTTATCTTGTAATAGAACTAACCTTATTTATACAAATTAGGTATGAATTAATCTCCTCCATAGTCATAGGACGGACGCCTTCTCCCATTCTGAGACATCCAATGCACAACTTCGATAAATCAGAGCTTGTTGCACTATTTGTTTCATACATTTTACAAATAATTGTTTAAAGTAAACAAAACAAAGCAACTAAGCGATTGTTTGAATCTTTTGACATTGACAATTAGGGATCGAACGATACTTTCGATACTTATGAAGTATCGATACTTTACACTCGATACTCGATATTTTAGTATCGATACTTGAACATCAAGGTATCGACAGGATCGCGGTATCGACTAGTCTGTTTTTAAAATATCGAGTACTTTTTGTCACTACTTAAAACAAATTACTTTCCATGGTTAAAATGTATACGGTGGAGATCGGTGACTTAGAAATTGGTCTGCTGGAATGCACCCAGCGATTTTTAGCAAATCGCATCCCTAAATTTGACTTAAAAATCTTGAACGCAGCGCAGCTGAAAGGAATGAATGAATGATTTTTAGTTCGTGAATTCATAGTCTTCTCTATGGTTCATTCAATAAATTTCTTCCTTCGTTCCTTTTTTCTTCGCGCCCAATTGTGCTATTTTGTGTTGTGATAAGATTTTTTCATTTCATTATCTTGATAAAAAATGAGCAGCGCTGGTAAAAGTGGTATTAGTACCGTGTGGAAATACTTTGAGAAAACGGATGAAAACTCTGCAAAATGCAAATTATGTTTTAAAGCCAGCCGGCCCAGGCGTAGTTTATTTGGTAAAAAACGAATTAAATAAATTTAATAGTCTTTCATTTCAACCTTACTTTCTATAGGTAAAGTACATTACATCTTTACCGAATGTGTTTTGGGTATTTATTTATTGGTATTATGATGATATTTAACTTATTGATAAGTTGACTATCTGACTATTAATACGAAGGGTCGGTAAAATGAATAAACGTGTTCGCAGGTATGAGTTTACTTTCGGACTGCTTGATGTTGAAGTGCCACTTACAAATTACAAAAGTCATAGATTACTTGCCACAGAGTGATAAAGATCATTACACAGATATGCCACACATCCATAGGTTTTTACTTCTATTCTCTAAATAAATGATTATATTATACAATGTTATACTCGTACTTAGTATATAAATTACTGCATTCCAAGAAAACAAAATCATGCAGTGATCATGCCTCCAAAAAAGTATCGATACTGAGTAGTATCGATACTTTTAGATTGATACTTTTCGGGTATCGATACCTAGGGTCGATACCGATACCGATATTCAGTATCGTGAACAGAAGCCGATACTTCGAACCCTATTGACAATTTCAAACATCAGAATATATCGATACCCTTAAATATCGATTTCTAAAAATAACAACAAATCGATTTCTAAATTACAATGAGGAGGTATTTAAAAAAAGGATTAAATTAAAAAAAGATAGTTCCCAAAATATAACTAGATGTCGCTACGGTACGTTCTTTATTTCTCCATGACGACCTTTCCGGTTATCTTTCATGTTTAAAAGTAAATTAGTTTTCATAACTCAATAAACAACTCATATTCTATTTGTACTTTTTCGTATTTGTATTAATATCTAAGTATCGAACTTTTCAAATTTCTGGTTTTTTAAATATTAGTTAAAAGGAACGGAAATGAGTGGCTTTGGTCCATTCGTTTCCTGCAAAAATCATCTTTTGCTAAGTCGCCATCTAGTGAAGGTGCTTTCTTTTTATTTTAAAATACTTCCTCATTGTAATAAACTACCAGTTACTGTGTGGATACACCCAAGGTAAAAGAGGTAAATAGAAAATTAAGTTATTCAAAACAATAGAAACAAACAACGAATATTTATTTTAATTTTTTAATATTTCTCCATTTCAAGCTGTATACGAATATTAATACATATTTCATAAAGCATCAAATTTATCTACAGTCAAATGGCAGGAGATAGAACTCTGAATAATAAACTATCTGAAGTCTTGTCAATATTATAGTTATTTATAGCTTTTCTAATGTATAAACTGCCAGAAATTTGAAGGGTATTATAATACAATTAAAATAAATAACTAAGCTAAGGTTCATACAATTATTACACAAGCTGGGGTTCAACCGTCTAACTCTAGCCGTAGAACGCGACATTTAAGCGGATATCATTTACTACTTTAACACTTCTTTTAAAGAGCTCCGTTGGTAGTATTGTGGTAACTCAGAGTGCCATTAAAGTTAAGAAAAATAAATAACAGAGTAGTTCGCTCGCGCGTTTTAAGATGTCGCTATTCTGAGCGGGTTCGATTTTCGATCGGGTAACTGTATAAAATTGTTTTTTTTTTATAGTCTCCGGTCTGGCTGTTGTGATACCTTCATTGTCTCATATACTCCATAATCGAGGGGCTTTAGCTACTCCTCTTGGAATCTGAGCAATGAATGTGAAGTTATTTATTTGTTTTGGTTTCAACACTCACATAATTTACTTTGACTCATTCTACATATTTACACCTCAAGGAACGGACTTTCAAAACAAAATTACAAAGCGATGCAAAAAAAAAATAACATTAAAAATGCTGCGACAAAGTTTAATAAAAAGAAAAGAAAAAGAAATAAATTACAAACAAATAACTAATCTAATATTTGTAAAATACATAGTTCGGAATCAGATTTCATTTGGATTATAACGCTAATATCGAATTGATAAACATTAAATAAATAGGTATAAATAACCCAGAATAATAATGACATAATTATATAAATATTATAAGAAGCCGCCAACGTAAAAGTGGTCTAACCCACGATTTATCTTTTTGAAATTTAATAAATTATTATATAAAACCGTATACATATTTTCACATAGGTAAGTAATAGATTTTTATTAGATAAGTAGTACTATGATCGTACAATTTTTTATTTATCTATTATATGTGCCGAATATTCGTTATCGAATACTTCGGTATCTGTTTCACTATATTATGCGGGCGGATTATTCGATTTTAGTGCCGAATATAGGTTGTTTCGAGTATTTTCATTGTCGTTGCTACACGACACGGTATAAAACTAAAATATAAAACTTCTTATGTTAGTTTTATGTTATAATTTTGTAAGTCAAAGAAATCCTACAAGGAACGTGTTCAATAAAGCTAATAATATAAAGCGATCAAACTTCAAACCAACATTTATTTTCTAATCTGTTTTCTCGGCAAATAAATGAAATGGTAAACCGAATTACTCGGCCAACTATACGGTTCGGTAAAGGAAACCACTATTCGACGTATCTCTAATAAGTACGGATATAAAAATTGTGGGTTAAGCCAGTTTTGCGCGAACGGTCACTTGTCCCTAGTGACTCATTATTTCATTCTATAAATTGAAGGCCATTGTCTTCTATGAGTGAATTTTATTATCTATTAATCAATTAATCATTATTTTTTTACCTCTCTCTGCCCAGGTGCGATTTAAGACTACTAATTACTCCACCCCACTCCCCCTACTTATAAAAACAGTATTAATTTGGAGAAATACATTAAAAACAGTTAAAAATATTTAATTCTTTTTGTACAATCCAAACAATTATACAAAATTTTATTGTTTAGATGATACAATAAAAACCACTAAGGTCCATATGATAGCGACTGCGATTTTTTTTTTCAAAGATATTGTTGATATTATGCAAGAAGCAAAATCATTCAAATCATCCTGCGTTCTAAAAGATTTGAAAGGAATTACAATAGATTTTTAAATTAGAACACAAGAATATATTTGATTGTCAATACCCTGGGTTCACGGACTAGCGTGACTTCGTTTGATGATAACAAGTGGATAAGCCTTGTATAGATAGTTCAGTGACGATTTAGTCATCCGAGTAGCAGACTCTATAAATTATAAAATAAACTGACCGAAACAGTCTCTGGCGAAATCCACAAGGGCAATGCCAATATAAAAAAAAGGTTTTATTTAAACGTTCTAAAAAGAATATCAAATTTTCTTTTTAATTTTAACCACCAACTAATAACCTCATTATACATAATTTATACGATCATAAAAGCTTGCTGCACGATTTACTTGTGTATAAAAAAGATAAAAAAAATCTTTTCTCCTTTTTAGATTTTTTTTTGCTTTTAATTTTATAAATCTGCATTTTTATTATGCAGCGTACCCTTTCATTATATGAAAGTATAATAAATTCAATAAAATAAAAGCTTTTAAAATATGAACAAGAACTTTTTGCATGGGTACAATCAATAAAGAAAATGTTTGGTTCTTCACGGAGAAAAATTTTAAGACATGGAATCAGATTTCATAATTAAATTAAGAACAGCAAATCTAAGTATTAAGTTCAACGAACACGTATAAACAAAATGATATCTAAGAATCATAGTATTAATAATAGCAAGTTACTATAATCTTATATTCAAATAAAATAATATATACTAATTTACAATAGTTACAGACAGCTCGTCACATTTATTCTTTTCATATTTTGAATTTGTTGTAATAGGCTAGTTGTATTTTTTTATTTTTCTTTTATCAATAAATAGTCCATTAATATCTGCGATTACTTACATTATTGTAAGTGCTGTGTTTGTCCCTACGAATGCAGACTAAAAATTGTCGTCATAGTTTAGTATTGTATCGATAAACATACGGGCGCCTCTGTGCAATATTTATGATATCTTTGTTATTTGTGCGTTTATGTTTAGATCTATTAAAATGATAGTTGTTACGTTTGTAACTGATTTAATGAAATATGTATTTTAGCAAATTTTCGTAACATATTTCTTCTACATTTTTTCAAGTTTTCAATGCGTAATATTATATAAATTAGTGCCATAAAATTTAATTTGGTAAGTATTTTTAAATTAAAATGTTTCATGTTTTTTACTCAGATATAACAGAAACCAGTATTTTCATTTGTAGGACACAAACCTATTACTGTTTTTGTATTTGACTGTACCTCATGTCACGCACATAAAATCACTGTATATGTACAAGGATTACCCACACATACCGCCGACTATACATATTGTTGAAAACAAAAACACACTAAACTAAAAAAATAAATAAACATAATGAATATCACTACACCCCCCTGCCCCTTTGTGATGGTTTTCTTATAAAAATTACCCTCCTTTGAGCCACAAGTGGTATATATCAATTTTTATATTGGTCAGCCCTAAACCTTTTAAAATTACCTTCACAAATAACAACACTTGGCCATTTTAACCATAACTCATTAGGTTTAATGTCGTGACATTTTTAAGTCTATGTTTTATTATACGGTACGCTCGCGCACTGAAGTAATATTGAATATGCACAGTGTAAATTAAATCTTATTTTTTTATGAAAACATTTAAGAATTAGGAGATCGGACAACTGTCAAAAAGCTGTTTTAAATTATGTAATCTATATGTATGCTTATTCTCACAAATAATATTATTTTAGGTAAATAAGCCTTATTTTGTGTCCAAAACGTAACGTAATTTGTGGAGTAAACAAAATCTTTCTCGGTTAAAAAAACGAATTGCTGTGTTTATTATATTTAAAGCCTCAAATAAGTAAAAGATAAAAAAAATGTAAATATTTAAAAAAAAAAAACAAATAATCGTTAAAAATAAGCAAGACATTATATTTATTATGCATATATCGTAATCTAAAATAAGCAATTGTTTTATAAAAAATACGATTATAAAAAAATAGTTTCACTACCAATTCACCCGCAAATTACGTTACGCGCTCTGATTGGTATTTTGTTTGACGTGAGACACAGACTAAAAATAATGAAAAAAAAATTGTCGATTTAAAAATATAAATCATTGTTATTTATGCAAAAGTGTTTGACGAATAATCTTTAAATATCAATAACTTTTTAACCAAACACAGTATGTTTTTTTTTATCCGATTGCTGTCCAATCCCCTATTATCAAAAGTAATAGAATGTCGTTATAAGTGTTTTGTTAGCTTTATAAATAACTCTATATATCAGTTTACGTTGATGTTAACTAATTAATTAAGTTGTCTTTAGACAACATTATACAAATAGTCTTAAAACCGATATTAGATATACCTGTAATTAATACTTGTGCAATGGTAACAGATAAAAGCAAGAAATTCACTATGACAATTACGCAGAGCGATTCCGAGATAATCCGAACCCGAATTCACTCTAGTATCCAAATTCACTACAAAAGAGAATTCGCCTAACTTATATATAGTATAGAAATACTATTGATTCCATTTTCTTGTATAAAAATACAAAACAAGATTGATTGATTCATACGTGTCTTATATATTATGTCCCTATAAAGTTTCGAAACTCCCTTCACTTATGCCACGAAGTGATGTAAATTGGAGAACCGAGTGAATCCGAATATGGATTCGTATTTCTTTTTCAGAATCGCTCTCTGCGGTGCAGTAAATCAAGATCAAATGTGTTATTTATCACATCACCAGCCCTTTTACGTCCCCACTGCAGGGGCTCAGGCCTTCCTTATGGATGGTTAAGGAGGATGGGCCATGACCCTCCACGCTGGCCCAATGCGGATTGGAGGGGATTGACGACTGCAAATGCAGCCGGGACCAACGGCTTAACGTGCCTTCCGAAGCGCGGAGTAGCTCGAGATAATAATTTTTCGGTCACCCATCCCGTGACCGACCCTTGCGAAAGTTGCTTAACGACTACGATCGCGGGCCGCGGCGCTTATCCACTACGCCACCGAGCTACTCATTGTGTTATTTATGTTTAGTTGGATATATGTCAGAGAGATCAATGATTGCAGTATGGTTTTCATACACTTTTATAGCGGTATTCTCGTCCATTTTCCTCATAAGCAAAGTGTTGGGACCTGTTTTCCTAATCTCCATGATGTTGTTGCAATTCAAAACTTTCTCGAACCACACCTGATTCACTCGCTTCTGATTGCAGTATGGTATTTTAGCTTGCAGGTTGAAATGCTCTTTGCGTATATGCAAGCGGAGTCTAGTCATGTTCGGACATGTTTTGCTGCACACGTCGCATTTTTTTAACGGTGAACTTGACTGTACTTTTTTGCTGTTACTTTTGTTTATAGCGGGTGCATTTTTTGTAGGTTCACCATTTTTTTCTTCGTCTATGTCAGTCTCTTTGGTTGAGTGTCGTTTTAAAACTGAATTAGCAGTTGGCTTTTCCATTTCAACATCATTGCTATTTACCCTGAAAAGTATATAAAGTATAGTATAATAGATGTTAGTTCATTTAAATATAGAATCAGATTTTGCTTTAAGAATTATATGCTTTTTTAATACACATCTAGCGAGAATAGACATTCTATTCATTTTGATATATTTTTATTCTTTCAAACAAATATGTGATATATAAGGAAGTGTAGTGAGTTTTTGAATAATCATCATCATCCTCACCACCAGCCCTTATACGTCCCCACTGCAGGGGCTCAGGCCTTTCATATGGATGGTTAAGGAGCATGGGCCATGACCCTCCACGCTTGCCCAATGCGGATTGGTGGGTATTAACGACTGCAAATGCAGCCGGGATCAACGTGACTTCCGAAGCACGGAGTAGCTCGAGATAATAATTTTTTTGTCACCCATCTCGTGACCGACCCTTGCGTAAATTGCTTAACGACAACGATCGCGAGCCGCGGTGCTTATCCACTACACCACCGAGCTACTCACGAGTTTTTGAATGCAGAATGTTGTTTAACTTAAAGACATGGTTAAAATTTCACATAACATAACCTGAATTTCTAAAAAAACAAGGTCTCCCGACGTAGATTTACAAACCGATGGCGCAGCTCTCGACTTTCGCGAGTGTTTGTAACAGCCTAGGTGAATAAATAATATTGACTTTATAAAAAAAAATGAGAAATTCTATTCAGTTCGTCAGCCAGATATATAGAAAAATATTGGATATGTATTTAATTAGTTTAACTTTACAAGAAATGACTTCGATAATATGTAATTTCTTGTTAAATTGCATTAAAGTTGAGGAGTGGGGGCTTGCTACTTCACAACTATGTAAAAACAAAGGAGTGACGTTATGCGACATTTCAACTATATGTATCCCCGTAATTTATTGATTATGCAAAAAAAATGTGTTTAGTATTCTTCAATCTGACGGACAGACAGTCAAAAACTAGTCATTGTCCATATTTTTATGATCGTTCCAGTAGTTTAGGTGTCCAGTAGTAGACAACAAACGAACAAACAATACATACCTGTTTATAATATTAGCATACAGATTTTATGCATGATAACTCTATTTCTAGAGTACAGTTTTTACACGGTATGGATTTATTTTACAGTGTTTTTTGTGAAGATCAGCAACTAACAATATAAACTATATTTGTTTTATAACATCAAAAGCAACACTTTGATCAAACATTATTTTTCAAATTTTCATAGTACTGTCTTAACATTTTTAGGTCTGTGTCTTATAAATTAATAGACAAACTTAAAAATCTCAATATAGAAACAACAGGAAGTGACTGTTTTATGCTATGTATAAATTAATCATAAAACAATAAACTTTGAAACTACAGTGGACTGTAGAGTGGATTATAGAGTACTGTCTAGGCCGGGCAGCTTAAAAGTGAAGATTTATTTTACAAAAGACTACCTTGTAATCTAGCAAATCACAGATCCAAATTCAAACAATACCCTATGCATCAAGCACAATAGTGGTGCACAATATAAGTACAAAAAAAAAATATTCAGTATTAATTTATAAACCATGTGGTGCGGATTAGATAGGGATTGGATTACCAAGGTACCAATGTATTTAGAAACAATATATAGTTTAATAAAATAATCAAAAGACAAACCTTTCATTGCCGTGAACATTAGCAATATGACATGCTAAATTTTTCCTATTTCCACATACAATTTTACAATATTCACAAGTAAGACTTTCTCTCCATTTTTCTAATTTCGCATTTTTCTTTGGATCACATTTTTTCACGTGTACAAGTATGTACCTACGTTGTAAAAACTTTCCATTACACCAATGGCATATAAAGTAGTTGTTTAAGCTACTAGTATCCATGTCTGCCTTCTGATCTGATGCCTTCTGATCGCTGTGCAGTGCATGGTTCTTCTGTATGTGTGAAAGGAGGCTCTTTATATTCGAATACATTTTGTTACACACATTGCATTTTTTTAAAGATGACTTTGGATGTACTTTGTTATTGTTATTTAATGTAGTTGTTATTTTTTCTTTTGGGACAAGTTCCTCAATTGCTTTTTGTTTTGAAATGGAATTATTGATTGTTTTTTCCTCTTCATTCTTATCTTTACTTTTTTCACTGAAAGCAGATTTTCTCAATGAAGAATGCTTAAAAAATCCACTTTGTCCCTGGCACGAAATCGGAACACTTTTCAATTTTTAATGAAAAATGCTTAAAAATTCACTTTATATTTTTCATTGTAGCATTGCAATTGCAAAATTGATCAAATATAAAACAAGAAACTAAAATAAATGTGCAAACTAGTGCAAACAATGTCATTGATGTTAGTTGTCTAGTCTTGTGAGTTTTTTCAGTATTTTAAAATTAACCCTGTATAAAAAACTTTGCAAAAGTATCTTTTTGTTTAGGTTTTATGAAAATAAAAACGTCAACAATAAGTTCTATTTTTAAAAGTTCCATATAGTGCTTGATGCACGGCAGTTAGTATGCTTGACCTGCAATACTATTTTTAAGCAACCTTGCAAGGGCCGGTCATAAGGTGGGCAATGAGAAAGTTATTGTCTCCAGCTCCTTATTTGGGAAATAACGTTAAGCTATAGGTTACCACGACATCTGCAGTCTTTAACATCCACCAATCCACATTGGGCCTGTGTGGTGTGTCACAGTTCTTTCACCCAATTTGATTCCACCCGTAGGAAATCCTGAGCTCCAGCAGGCCAACATTTTAAAGGCTAGTGATGATATAGTAAAATCCAGTAACCAAAATACATACCTTTCATTGCTATGAAGATTAGCAATGTGACGTAATAAACTTGCTCTGTTTCCGTGTACAGTTTTACAATACTGACAAGTTAAATTTGCCCTCCATATCTTTATTCTCTTGTTTCTTTGTGGTTCACATTTTCTCAAATGAAGAACTAAGTACCTACGCTTTAGAAAGATTCCATTACACCAATGACATTTAAAGCAGTTATTCAGACTGCTAGTTTCCATGTCTCCTTCCTTCTGGCTGCAGTGCAGCAATTTAGAATGGAAGTCAAAATGCTTTTTCCTTATGTGTATGCGGAGGCTTGTCATATTCGGATATCTAATATTACACACTTCACATCGGTTTGTTTTCTCATTTGGATCACATATTTTCATATGCTTATGAATATAACTACGTTGTGAAAACGTTTTATTACACCAATGGCATATAAACATCTGGCGTGGCATTTTTATAGTTTCCACAACTTAACTTTTTACAGTACTTCTTCCTTCTTTTATTTCATGGCCTATTTGCGTTTACTCAATTCCGCCAGTGTCACGTTTATAGCTTTTACACATAAAGGAACAATAAAAAAGTTTGGATAATTTCGAATTACTCTTTCGATAAATTGTAAACAATGTCTCACGTCTCACATAAGTACCTATGTACTTTCTTTTTTATGTCTAGGGATGCACGCAATCAGTGATCTCGAACGTCATAGTATGGAATCGGTATAGTTGCTCAATAAAAATGGTATACTTATTTATGCCTGAAATCGGTATATGAGAAAAACAAAATATTAAATAAAATTCTTTGTTTTATAGAAAATAATAAAAGAAAATTCACATTAAGAGATTTTTGACATATAACCTATTTATTTGAGTTATCAAAAAGTAAAAAAAAGCGGCATACAGCCAGTTGCACAAACGTCCATATAAAGTGACATTAGTTTAAAGCGACATTACCCATACAAATTTGACATTCATTAGAGTTTAAAGATGTCATTAAACCTTAATGGATGTTTGTGCAACTGACCGATAGATAAATAAAGTAGAGAAGCAAAGTACCATTTATTACAGAACACATTTACTTCAAGAGATAGAAATGCATTCGAGTTAGTCTTTACTTGAGTATTATTTTTTACCCTCGAAAAGATTTCACTCAACGACTCTAGTAATATCAGAGCTCGAGTCGCGTCACTACTTTGTGTTTGACATTGACTTTGATTGATGTCATTCATTTCATTTGTTGTCTTTTTTATTGTAGTATATTACATTTAAGATCCAATCAAAATCTAATAATAAATCTATTAAATACATTTTCCTGCAGTCACGGTTTATTATTATACATTTAAATGGGGAAGAATAAAATGATAGCCAAAAGTTGTCCGAAATGTGAAATGCAGGTATACAAAGTTAAATAAAAGTACCACATGATTTTAATTCCTTTTTCTGTTTCTTCAAGTGTATAAAACTTATCTGAATATTTTTGATGTTGTGGTATTTTTTTCAATAAAAAAAAATCCTCAAAGTGATTTTCATGGCATAGGTCGCTGTGGCGTCGAAATCGTGTAAATGTGGACATACATTCTTTGCTGCTCGCCGTGGTGCAGACCACTTACCAGCTGTTGAAGACATAAAACGGAGGACAGGCAGAGTGAGACGCTCTAAGACACAATTCTATGATGCCCAACACTATGACAATAAGATTAAAAAAAGAGTGAGTGGCTTTATTTTTTAATAAATTATGACCAACATGTTTCTCTGATATGAACACAGAACCTGTACTTATAATAATAAATGCATCTATACTTATAAATAGGAAAGATTTGATTGTTTGTTTGTTTGTAACAAATAGGCTCCATAATGACTGCAATAATTTTTAAAATTCTTTCACCTATGGGAAGCTTTATCATAAGTGAACATAGGCTTTATTCTAGCCCAAAAAACAGGAAATAAAGGGTTGAAAATGGGAGTGTATATTGGTGTCATGATATAAATTGATGTCCAAATAAACAGTTCCTTAGGACCATGTGGGCAAAGTCACTGGTGGAAAGTTGGTATAATATAATAATTTATATATAAATTAATAGTATTCATTAGACCATGAAATCTTTTTCCAATAAGACCTTACTGTATAAAACAAAACTGGCAGATAAAAACAGCCCCCTCTAAATTCCTTGCTGGTTCTTAGTAAAAGTCTCCCGATATTCCAAAAATTAATAAAAAAATTAGGTATATCACAAACTGTATGTTTTTTTTACAGTCACCCAAGAAACAGTCTCTAACACACACATTAGATTATGATTACAAAGGAAAAGAAAAGTCAGAAAGTGGTCTGTATGGTTTTTTTTTATATAATTATATTTTGTGTTGCCCAAAACGGCTATTTTTAATACAAAAAAAAAAGTAGGCCCAGGACCAGACTGTGGGTTATTTTGGACACTAAAAATTCTCCAGTATATTCACCAGTGCATTTATAGATATGACTGGTGAATTTTTTAGTTACTTTTCATTTTTTGTAATAAAATGAACTTTTTAATTCCAATACGAATTACAATCGTTTTACGACAATAGGGATGACAACAAATTTTTATTTGTTTGTCCGTCAAGTAGTGTGTTGAAAAATATTAAACACATAACATCTATGAAGAGTCAATAAATAATAACTGCAAAAATGCAACTGTTTAGGAGACGAAAAAAACGTTTCAAATCTATTATATTGGTTTTTTCAGTACATTGCAATTATTGTTTATCTTACAAAAACATAAGAAACAAACCCAAAATCTTTGTCACTATTGTGTAGTAATCTATTTTACAACGAATAATTCAATAAAACAAAAATTGACAAAATGTCAGTTATTATTTATTGACTCTTCATGGGCGATATCATCAAATTACGGTGATATATGGAGTTGAACTTCACATGACGTCATGTTATGGTACGTTTTCTACAAAACTATGACGTAGCCAGCCCCTACTCCTTAACTTTAATGCCTGTTATCTAAGCTATTCCTCGTTAAATTGAAGTAAAAAAAAATACGTATCTAATTTTTTCTATTATCTGACTGACGGACTAAATAGGATTGCATTTTTTTTTTACCCGTTCGTCTTCCCTATAGTTCTTGTTCTTTTTTTTTAATATGCTTCTTTTTATTAGCGTTGCCACTGGCGGTATTACGTCAATGTCGAAGAGACACTCACTGACTGATAGCGATGTCTGTAATACAATCGATAAATAGTGATGTCCATGCTAGTCAATATTTTTCATCGAACAGTACATAATTTACTCGTTTATTGCAGCCACGGCTTTAGCGAGGCGTCGTCGTGCGTTACGACGCGCTAAACGGTCCCCAGCCCGGGGCGGAGATCGAACCCGCGACCCAACACCTCAATTGAGGCCGTCGCAACTCGCGCGTTGTCGACTTATACTACAAGAGATAAATCGAAAGATGCAAGCTGTCACGTGGCAGCCCCCACTAGAAGGATAGACAGATTTAATTTTGATCTCTCATTATAGGTCGCCGAACAGAGCGAAATTCGTGCGTTGACCTTTGTGCTTACTGATATCGTAAATATTTTAGGTTCACATTACTGTGACAAAATTGGATAGATGCATCTGTGCGAGCGAAATAGCAGTATGTTTGCGTACGAGTGAGAGAGATATGTAGTGCCGGGGTGATGTTAGAAATTCTCTTTGTTCGGCGACGGTGCTAATGTTGGATGGACGCAGTGTTGTTGATATTGTGATTCTATTATGGCTTTAAAAATCAAAGTCTCGGCACTAAATCATAAAAAAAAAACAATATATTTGCGATTACAACGATACGTAACGATACTATCGATACTATCGATATCACAACACTGCTGTGACGTTGCAATTATACCAGAAATATGTATGTTTTACAATATTTAATAGCCGACCAATTTGATCCCGATGCTACTTTATGATCTTCCCCCTTATTCTCGAACGCAATCGTGACCGATCAACATTGCAATTATGCTGTAACAGTTTACTTAATAAACTGTCCTTGTTTTGAATTCTCTTTTTAATACAAATAGATTTAAAGAAAAATATAATTAAAAATAGTTGAAGGTACAATGTTAACAATTGTACTATGGAGGTAGGCAGACATAGGAGCGCAGCGCGGCTCATAGTGGTGGCATAGTATTTAAAATGTCTTCTCGCGAGTCCAATTTTGATTGTGATTTGATTATTTCAAATTGTGTGTAAGTGCTAAATAACCCCGAAATCGGGGTTTCTACCGCCGTTTCTACTGCTAGTTTCTACTGCTGTTTCTACCGCTGTTTCTACAGCTAGTTTCTACTGCTAGTTCTACTTCTTCATCAACTCCAGTCCTCCGGAGCTTCGTGGACCTTCGGTGCTGCTGACCGGAGCTGACGTCGGGTCTACACCCTTCTCAGCCTCTGCCCGGCCCGTGACGCCGAACCCGCGAAGTCCTCACTAATTGCAAAACTTAAAAGCTAAGTCCTCCCCTCGTAATTATAGAAACAAGAACCATAATGAGCGAATATCTTAACCTACCCCCTGAGAACTAAAATAAAGATTGTTAAACTTTATTATTACTTTTATTCTTTATACCTGAAGCCTGGGGGTGCTTCACACCCCCCATCTACAACCCTAACGCTTCAGTGGCGCCCGGCTCGCTCAGGATTTCGCTCGCTCTGTGGTTCTTGTTTATTTCTAATTTTTTTTCTTTTATTTTATTAAAAAGTGGGTAACAAGTTTTTCCTTTTTGGGTGTGATCTCGACTGATCTCACACTCATTTTAGAGTCAAGTTCCTGCCTCATTTGGTAGCTGTAAAACCAATTAATCATTTTATAATAAAAATTTTTTTTGCAAATTAAAAAAGAAATAACATTATTACGGTCATTTCCGCTTGGTTTAACCGCTTGTGTTTAGCATCCGGTTTTCAAATAATTGGTTACATTTTATAATCTAAATTGATATTAACTATTTCAAAAAAACTAAAATTTTGAAACTATAGATACTACCCACTTCTTAGTAATTTTTTTTGTACCGTCAATTTGAATTTCAAACGTTTTACGCGACTGTGAATTTGTGTTAGCTTCGACGGAACACTCACCCTTAATCACTTTTCAATTTTTCTACCGCGTTAGAAGTCATTGCTTTCATTATGGCCAGTGAATACCCTATTAATTTTTTTTCTTTAAACAAGTCTGAACTTGAATATGAAGTTGGTCTACGTGGATTGGTTCCCGGTACATCCGTGGCCGAGTTGAGGAAACAAATAGTTATTTTTGATAAGGAAATTTCTCCAGAGGACATTCTTGTTTCCCATCTGGAACCAGACGAAGACATTGAAGGTGTTCAAGAAAGTTTAGCTAAATCATTTAATAATTTATCTACCCTAAAAATTAAATTCGACAAAAATTTATTTCTCAGAACTGAGTTTTTGCTTAATCAAATATATCACCGATTGAATAGAATTGATCCTAGTGATGCCTTGATTAAAGTTTTTGATAGTTGTAAACTTAACTTTGATTCTCAATACAAAGATTTACTTGTTTTGAAGCCTTATGTTGAACCAAAATCAAAACTACCGACACAATTAGTATCCGATCTAGAAAAATCTATAATTAACGTTACTGTCGAAAGACAAAATACGGCAGATATAAATAAAATTAAATTCAATGGTAAGACTTGCGTTCGATCTTTTATTCAAAGAATTAATGAATTTGTTGAATCGAGAGGAATATCTCATGAGAAAATTCTCTCATTTGGTTACGAGATATTTACGGATGAAGCACTTCATTGGTTTCGCTGCGTAAAACCGAGGGTATCTACTTGGACGGAACTTTTACCTTTGCTCAAGGCCGATTTTAGTCCCCATGATTTCGACTACCGTTTCATATCTGAAATTCGTTCACGAACACAGGGAAAGAGCGAATCCATTTCCATTTACCTTTCAATAATGGAAGGTATGTTTTCGCGTCTGGACAGGTCCTTGTCGGAGGAGGATAAATTAGAAATTTTGTCGCACAATGTGAGACCGTGTTATGCCAACACTCTAGCCGCAGCTTCACCCATTTCCTCAATTAACTCTCTTAAGGCCGCTTGCCAAAATTTTGAGAAAATTCAAGGTCAATTATCAAACTTTGCTGAACCGTCTCCTTCAAATGCACAGACACTTGCTCCTGAGTTCGCATATCGTGAGGAACACCACCACCCACTAAAAAGTTTAGTTAAAAATTCTTTTATTTCTAACAGGGCGATTATTTCTGCGATTGCTGCAGGAAAAAAGTTTTGTCCTAGGTGTCGCAATAACACGCACGATCTAAGAAGTTGTACACAGCCTCGGAAAATTATTTGTTTTAGGTGTGGTAAACCAGGTGTTCGTGTTCCAGAATGTCCAAATTGTAAAAATATTGCCAAATCAAAAAACTAATTAACCAGAACTGGAGACGCACTAATTTTACTGACCATAGAAGACAGTCTCATAGGTTCGATAGGTCGTCCTTTAAAAAAAAAGTCTTTTCTAACCGCTCTTCGTCTCCAGTTCGCGATAAGTGTAAAGTAATCAGTTTGAACCAAGAAAATGAAAATAAATTCTTTTCTCGTCCATTTATTTCTGTAGTTGCGGATAATAAAAATATTATTGGTCTTTTGGATACTGGTTCCAGTATAACAATTCTTGGAAATAACTTTCATAAACAGTTCTCTGTTAATAACTATCCTCTTTGTACTTGTGAACCGTTACAGCTTTCTGCAGCTGGCGGTCAAATATTTTTAACATCCATGTATATCAACTTGCCGATAACTTTTAACAATAGTACTCGAACCTTAAATTTTTTTATTGTACCGTCTATCAAAGACAACTTAATACTTGGGATGGATTTTTGGAGAAAGTTTGGTTTGTTTCCTACTGAATTGGATGGTTTCGTGCTCGATACGCCACATGAAATTGGTCTTTCGAATTTTTCTGTAGACGAACCTCGTCATCTTTTTTCGTATTCACATCTTAATGAAGAACAGAAAAGAACAGCTGATGAGATGATTTCACAATTTCGCAATATTTCGTACGAAGAACGTGGTTTGGGTCGTACTTCAATAATAATGCATGCTATCGACACAGGTGATGCCGTTCCTATTAGGCAAAGGTACTACCGAATGTCTCCACAAAAACAGCAAATTCTTTGGCAACAATTAGATGAAATGTTAGAGGAAGACGTTGTGGAACCATGTGAAAGTCCTTGGTCTAACCCGGTTCTCCTAACCCCAAAGAAAAACGGAGAGTATAGACTTTGTTTAGACAGTAGGAAGTTGAATTCCGTCACACGTAAAGATGCCTATAGTCTACCATATATTTCAGAAATTCTCGATAATCTTAGAGATGCTAAATATTTGTCTAGTATTGATCTTTCTAAATCCTTTTGGCAGGTCCTAATTAGGCCTGAAGACAGATGTAAGACTGCGTTTTACATTCCCTCTAGAGGAACATTTCAATTTAAGTCCATGCCTTTCGGACTAACTAACGCACCGGCTACGCAGCAAAGATTGGTCGATTTACTATTTTATGGGCCAGAATTCGAAAATAAAGTTTGGGTTTTTATTGATGACATTATTATAATTGCAGACTCTTATGAGAAGCACATATCTTTACTTAAACAAGTGCTAGAAAAGCTAAAATATGCTAATCTTACTATTAACTTTGAAAAATGTCAATTCTTTAGGGAAAAGTTAAAATATTTAGGTTATATCGTGGACTCTAAAGGTCTTCAAGCTGATCCAGAAAAAATAGAGGTCATTGTTAACTACCCTCCTCCAACTAACAGAAAAGAAGTTCGCCGATTTTTGGGCACTGCGTCGTGGTATCGTCGTTTTATACCTAATTTTAGTTCCATCACAGCCCCATTAAACAAACTAACGTCACAAGGTAAAACTGCTCCCCCTTTCGTTTGGTCTGCAGAAGCGAACGCATCTTTTGAAAAGCTTAAACGGTGTTTGACCTCGCCTCCTATTTTAGCGTGTCCTAATTACGCTGAACCCTTTCAAGTGCATACAGATGCTAGTGACTACGGGATTGGCGCTGTTCTTACGCAGATTCTCCACGGCGAAGAGAGAGTAATAGCCTACATGAGTAAATCCTTGTCAGCTCAGGAACGTAATTATAGTGCAACTGAACGCGAGGCTCTCGCTGTCATTATTGCGATAGAACACTGGAGGTGTTATTTGGACAACGGTAAAAAGTTCACAGTTTTTACTGATCATTCGTCTTTGAAATGGTTTCTTAATTTAAATAATCCTACTGGTCGACTGGCTAGGTGGGGAGTCCGCCTTTCAGCTTTTAACTTTGACATTAAGCACAAACATGGCAAGGATAATGTCATGCCTGATTTGCTATCTCGCGCTATAAATATATCTGCAATTACAAATAATAATCCTTCCATACCTAATGTGTGTGATCCATGGTATATTAAATTATTTTCTAGTTGTCAGGTGTCTCCTACATCTTGTGCTAATTATAAAATAACTAATAATAAACTTTACCGTTTCATGAAAAGTCTGAACCCTCTAACTAGAGAATTTGAGTGGAAAGAGGTGATTCCTAGCGAGTTTAGACAAGCGACTATAGCGGAAAATCATTGCAATCCTATTTCAGGGCACCTAGGTATTTTTAAAAC